TCCGGGCACACGCACGAGTAGCTGCCGTCCACGTTGACACAGGTGGCCAGCGGGTGGCAGCCGCTGAGCCCCGGCTCCGCGCACTCGTCCACGTCGGTGCAGCCCAGCTCGGGCATCAGTAGAAAGCCGTCGGGGCACACACACGTGTAGGAACCCAGCGTGTTCACACAGCTGCTGTTGGCAGAGCAGTTGTGCGCCTCTGGGGTGGCGCATTCATCCACATCCACGCACTCCAGCCCGTTGCCCCAGAAGCCGCCTCGGCAGGTGCACGTGGTGACGACCCCGTCCTCCATGCAGGTGGCGTTGCTGTGGCATTCTGAGCACCTTCCTGCGGACAGAAGGAAGCCCGGTCGCCTGAGCTAAGGGCCTTCCGGAGACCCCTCCTGCCCCCCAGGGAACTCGTGGTCTTGGTTCCTCTTTCGGAGCTGACTCCCCACCAAACCAGTACAGCGCCTCTGCCAAACGTCCAAGCCTGGCTATTCCTTTTCTGTATTAAGAATTGCTTTCAAGTTGTGTCCTTTCCAAAATATCCACATTCCCACGTCCAAAGAACGGGGCACAGAACTCCTTTGCTAGGATTTGTGGCGAATGTGTCTCCTGGTCACAACCTTTGCACACTATACCTCCTAACAAGGTCTTCTCCCCAGCCTACTGAGTCCACGTCAAGACCCTGCTCAGGGTCACCGCTTCTCTAAAAACCGCCATGTCCACCTGGCAGGCCTGCTATTTTGATCTTCCACGACAAAAATATCAGGAGAGAGAGAGCACTAGCGAGAGTGCTGTTGCTCAGGGAGCATTTGTGATGTGCCAGGCAGTGGATGCACATTTCATTATCTTGTTAAATCGTTCCCGACAGCCCCTTGAGCTCAGCTTTCAGTTATCCTTATTTAATTGTGTGTATGTATGATGTATTTGGTGGTGCTTGAGATTGAACCCATGGCTTTTGCTCTGCGCTATATCCCAGCCCTTTTTTTCAGCGCTATTGGGCCTTCATTCATACTGAGCTACATCCTCAGCTTAATTAATTGATTTGTTTATTAATTAATTTGTTTATTTGCCAAGTTGCTCAAGCTGGACTGGAACTTGCAATCCTCCTGCCTGAGCTTCCCAATGTGTTGGGATCACGAGCATGCTCCACCGTGCCTGGTTGTTTATTCTTATTTTAAAGAGAAAGAAACTGAAGTTCAGAAAGGATTAAGTCATTTGCTGTATTGGTGAGCAGCCGTCAGGGCACACGTAGATGAGAGGTCTCAAGAGTGTGTGCTTTTAACCATGGCCCCACAATAGTGTTTACGACCCCAAGTGCTCCAGGGAGAAGTGGGAAGCAGGATAAGAGCGATGCTCACCCCCCTGGAGGATGTTCAAGAGCCACTGGGTATGTTTCAGTCTCCCATATTTCAACCCCTAGCTCCTGACTGCCCAGGAAAGTGCCGGTGTGTCTGAGAGCTGTCCCAGCCGCTCGCCTCTCCTGTTTGGCCCAAGGACCACACACACATCAGGGACACCTGGACCTTGTTAGCAATGCAGAGTGTAGGGCCTCAGGGTAGACCTGCTGAGCCAGAATTTACATTTGAGCCAAATCTCCAGGTGAGTCCAGTGCCCAGTGTAGCCTAAGAAATGGACATAGACTGGCGACTGTCTGAGTAAAGGAGGGGTTAAGACTGCCTCTGCCAAGTTAACCCCCCCACACACACACCACTTACTTGCTTCAGAGGAGGGCTCATTGGCTGCAGCTCCGAGGCCCCAAGAGGTCATCACCACTGTCACCACCAGCACCCAGCTCAGAGGGAGTGGCCGCCCCATCCCTTCTGCACTGCACAGCTCCTTCCGGTCCTGGGGACAGAGGCAAGGTCCTTGTCCAGAGACAAGGGTGGTTGGCCCAGGCACTTCCTCCCTGTTTCTGATGCTGAATTCCTGTGAACAGAGACAGATGGGACAGATGTGCATGATCTAACTCCCTCCGCAGTTGGAAAGGACACTTTGGCTGTACGTTATACACCTCCAGGAGTGGCCATTTGTATGTGTGTGTTGCACAAAAATCTTGCAATGCAGCAGCCATGACTTTTTTTTTTTTTTTTTTTTTAGCAGCCATGGCTGGTGGGATTTTCCCCTTCGTATCCACATAGTTACTCCCACCCATATCCCATCCCCTTCTCCTCAAGTTTCAGGGCATATTTTGAAAAGCTGGGTCTCTTATTTGCAGCAGGAAGTAACAAGATGGGGTAGCGTTCCAGATTCACTGTCTTATTAGAGGTAACTTTGGATTTTAACAACCAACTCTTAATCCTCTGCTTGGAAACTTTCAATTTGCCCACATCCATTTATTCATTCAATTTTTTTTTTAAGCAGCTACAATGAGGGAGTTGGGTGCCAAGGGGAACTGTGAATACAACCGAGTCTGCGTCATCCTGTAACTCACATATTGCATGGAAATGGCTTAGGATAAGCCACTCAGCAGGTAATTAGCCTGTGCAACCTTTGCAGCACATCTTGGTGTTTCTAGAGTGGTCACTTACTTCTCCCAGTTGTTAAAGTAAGCCTCAGTGGGAGCTTTTAACACCCCCTCATCACAGCAACAAAAGAGGGTAGCGTGGTGGGTAAGTGAGAGAGGGCTGAACTAAGCCTGCACCCCAGATTCAAGGCCCGTCTTGCTGGTCACTATGTATGACAATGGGCAAGGCATTTTCATTCACTAAGACTCGGTTTTCCCGTCTAGGAAATGGGGACGGCTGCTTCCACAGACTGAGAGTCCAGGATGTGCCGGGCTTGGTCCTGAACAATTCCTGTGCTCCTGTACTTATATTCCAGAGTGATATTTTCTAGACCTTTGTGGCTAACATAAACTGTATGGGGAACACTTTATGTCATAATCCAGTGGGTTGTCCTGCATGTGAATGCAAACACACACACACACACACACACACACACAAAATGTGAGTTGTACAAAACAGTTCTTACCCTTACAGTGTCATTGCCTGCTGACACATTCTATTCTATTTAATGAAAAGAAAATTCCAGCTGTAAACCACAAATGGCATGGTTTCATGACCCATGCATGAGCTGTGACGGATCATTTTTAAAACACCAGAGCAGATGGAGACCTACTGCACACCGCTGTGGCTGGGACTGACTAAGATGATGTGCACAAAGCAGGACCGACACTGTGGTTCACTGCTGTATCCCAGTGTCTGATACGCAGTCGATGCCTCATCCGTAGTCACTGATCGCATGGAAAGCGGTAGCCACTATTACTGAGAAATCTTCAACTCAAAGAGAGGGAGACAGCGTCGCGACAGTGCGCAGAGCTGATAATCGGCAGAGGAATGACTCAGATGCGGCTCTGACTCATGGCCAAAGTCTTCGCTTTCTTCCCACCTCCCTCAAATACAATGGGAGCTGCAGAAGAACAGAAAGGGGAGAGGCTGGGCCGGGAGAGGACAGCTGCACACAGCCTTACCTGAAGCCAGAAGGGAGGGCTGGATCGTTTTCGAGCAGACACCTCTTACAAATATATACACACCTGCCCTGGCTGGCAGTCTGTCCTCCAATTATTCTCTGCATCTGTTTCTTGACATTGTTCCATTGGAGGGAGGGGGAATGTTTCTTTCTCCTTTGGGCCAAATGTTTCCCTTTTCCTTTTTTGTCCTAATAGCTGGAGACACCAAATGACTGACATTGGGGGGTCACACCGGTGCCTGGAAATACAAGGTCTCTGTTTTGCACATTTTGGCACCAAGAGATTCTTTAGTTAGGCATTAACTGGGAAGGCAGTGCCAATGTGCTGGGCTTTTCCTTGGTCACTGACAAGGGCAAGTGGACCCAAGAAGCCAAGCAAAAGACCACATCTGAAGCCAGGCTACATGCGGGGAAAGGGACGACCATTCCCCTTCCTGGGCTCTGCACCTGTCCTGGGAGGGCGCCCTCCCAAGATGTCCCATCCTCCCCATGCGGCCCCCACTGCTAGGGTCTAGAAGGAAGCCAGAGAAGCACTGAGAGCTGCCAAAAGTCTGAACCAGAACACAAGTCAGGTGTGCAGGGCCTGAGCAGTCTTCTTTGGGTAATTTCACAAGAGTGAAATCTCTAGATCAAAGAATATTGGAACTTCACCCCAAAGAGCTCTCCACAGAGACCTAAAAATTAGCTTCCTATCCCATCCCTGGTGCTTAGCAGCTCCTAGGATTGCTTCTTTCATCTTGGCCAACTTTCCATCTTTTCGGCCAGAAAGTTGAATGAGGCCCAAGTATAGCTGTGCAGGGCCGAAATCGCAGCACTCTTGGGGGCTGAAGCAGGAGGAGTTTGAGCCCAGCTGGGGCAACTTAATGAGTGAGCTTGCAAGCGAGGCCTTAGTAAGCAAATAAACAAACAAGTAAATAAATGTCTGGGGATGTAGCTAAGTGAAAAGGCCCTTGGTTCAATCCATAGTACTAACAAAAATAGTAATAATACTAATTAATAATAATAAATGAGAAGTATCTCACAGTTACTGAGTTTTTCAATTGTTTGATGAAAAGGGATATTGTATCATCTCCTCGGGGTTTATCATGTATCCTTCTTCCTGGAACTAGCTATTTGCATCCTGTTCCTTTCCCATGAGGCCCCCTCTAGACCCCAGTCTGGGTGAATGTGAGGGATTTGAAGGAGGTGACCCCATGTGGCTTCCTGGGTTTTCTGGTCAAAGCCTCAGACAAGGTAATGGGAAGTTTGGGCTGGAGCCCATCCATAAGGGTCACTGTGTTCCGGTTTCTGCATTTGATGCCGTACATCTTGCTGGGAATAATACCACGGTCTTGTGCAAAGCAGCCACTCCAGAGCCCACGCTCCGACATCTGCCTCCAGACAGCCTTTCATAGAGGCTCTTGTTCCCACCATGCCAAGGGACCAGCCAGAGACTGGAAACTGGGCTCAACTTTTGTGTCCCAGAGCCCAGGATGGGACCTGACGCATCCTAAACCTGCCCACCCTGCCTTCCCCATTGTCCCCCGTGAAGACCACAGCGAAGGCTTCTGCCACCTCCCCCCTTGCCCCCTTTGCTTCCCGGCCCCCCTGGTGCCTTCCCCTGTGCCTGGGCCCCGTTCCCTGTCCTCCATGTCAAGTCCCCTTCTCTTGGGATCTGTGAGGATCACAGCTGTCTTTTCAGCATCATTGTTCTCCTGTCCTGTTAGCCTTGAATGCCTGAATCATGATGAAGTCTACACTTAAAGACAGTATCGTCTTCCCCAGCCTGGCTCCTTGAGCTGCGGTGTGTCGCTGGCCCCTGGAACCTCCTACCTTCTCTCCACCAGCGCACACTTGATGACTTCGGAGCCCCTGAGCCATGGCGTCCTCTCCTCCTCAGGACCTGCGTCTCTCCTCTCGTTGTGTCGCTGGCCCCTGGAACCTCCTACCTTCTCTCCACCAGCGCACACTTGATGACTTCGGAGTCCCTGAGCCATGGCGTCCTCTCCTCCTCAGGACCTGCGTCTCTCCTTAGTCCTCGTTCCTGTGAAAGGCCTTCTCTTTCTTCCTAGGGGCCCCGATGGCATTTTCCTCTGCTCCTTTCTCTCCCTTTCTGCCCTTCCTCCTCCACCCTTGCTCTTCCCCGGCCCCCTGGACTCTTCCCATCTGCTAACCACTGCTATAAATACGTTCCTCTGAATATTCTGTTTCCTGCCCTGTTATTTTCTGTAGCCAAATTTCCTGGGAACTTCACCCATCCTCTCTTCGGCTCACACCAATATGCTTTCTGAAAAGCCACCTCCATGGACAGTGCTCATCAAGATGTCAGAGATGCCCACGGTGCCAAAGATGATCCATACTTTTCATCTCTTTTCAGGGAAGTGCGCAGTAAATGTCTATGAATGAATCTTACTTAATCTTTGAAACCCTCTTCTCAATTTTCAAACAGGCATGGGAGACTTGTCATGCTCATTGACTGGGCCATTTTTGCACCATGTTCTTCTCGTGTCAGGCTCTGCTTTTACGTTCTTGGCTCAAAAGATGTGACACAAACACTCCTGTTACCAGAGAAAAGACTGATGTTCAGAGAGGCTGAGTAACTTCCCTAAGATCACCCAGCTGGTTAGTGCTAACTCCAGCATGAAACCCAGATCTCACTTGGATTTGTCCCTATGATACGCTGCACCCCTGGGAGGTCAAGAACTTTCCATACTCTACTGTAGAAGGGCCTTACAAGGGCAAGTGGTGTGAAAAGGAGAGCTAAGGGGGTGGAGGGATGTGAAAAATTGATCAGGCAGAATGCAAGGAGTTAGAGAGGTTGGTGTTTTTGGAAAGGGGCAAAAGTGAGCCAAGGGAGAAGACTTTTCCAGCAGAGGGGACCACCTGTCCCACCTGCCTACGCTGCTGCCCTCTACTGCACCCTGAGGCCCTGCTCACACCCGCGTGGCTCAGAGGTCGCGCACTTGCTCATGGCCTTTCAAGGCCTCTTCTCCACATGATTTAACCTCAGCAGCTCCTGGACTCCTTGTCCAGTGCACAGCCACGTGGCCATAACGTGGAGGCAGGTGAGCCTTGCGCCGTGTCCTGAATATTAACACCTGCCCCGCCAGGGCATGTGGCACCAGAAGTTGCTAGGGCCCCAGGCTGTTCCCTGCTTCATCTGGATGTGGACAGGTCAGGTTTGGGGAGTGTGGCGTGGGAACTGGCTCTGGAGGTTGGAAAATGCACAAACAGCCTGTGCCTTACATAACAGGTGGGAAGCGGAGAGGCCCAGTTAGTGTCCTGAGAGCACTGTGGTATGAGTAATACCCCTTCCTCCTTTCCTTGGGAAGGTCTGTTATTACCTGTCTGGAGTAAATGACACACATCAGCAGCGTATGGCAGGATGACTAGTGACGCCCAACTACATCCATATCCTAATCGCTGGAACGTGTAAACATTGCCCTCCTGAACAAAAGGGACTGTGCAGTTGTGATTCAGCTGAGGAGCTGGAGATGGAGAAACTATCCAGGCAGATTAGCTGCAGCCACCACAGTGCTTATGAGGAGGAAGTTAAAGGAATTGGGAGATAGATAGGAGGATGCACCCAAAGCTCAGGGTGAGTCCAGGAAGGAACTATGAGCCAGGGAATGCAGGTGGTTCCCAGGAGCTAGAAAAGGATGAGGATTCTTGCAGAAGGGAACAGCTCTGGTAACACCTTGAATTTACCCAGTAAAACTGATTTCTGCTGTCTGGCCTCCAGGATTCTACCAATAAATCCATGTCGTTTTAAGCAATAAAATGTGTGTTATCAGACCGATAACAGAAAGCTGATGCTGAGTCTAGTGTGGACCTTGGGACATTGTCCTCACCACCTCCTATTGGGGTGATTATGAAGCCGTGTATCTTTCTGAGAGAGTGCGCTGCCTGATATGGTTTCATTTGGTCTGTGGACATTTACTGAGCATCTACTATGTACCAACCAGAGTGCCAGGTGTGAGAAACACAGTAAGGAAGGGGGAAACGGGCAATATGCAATTGCACAACAAAATAATAAGATGTTTTTAAATATTAGTGTCGAGTTGAGGTCTGATTGAAAGAACACAGCTGTGTGAAGATCTGGATGTGTTTACTCTGGAGGGAGGGCATCTTAGGCAGAGGGAACAGCCAGGAGGACAGAGAGCATTTGGTTTGTTCAAACAGACAGGAAGTGTTGCTGGAATGCAGAAGGAGAGAGAAAGAGCTGGACATTTCAGGACCTTGTAGACATGGTAAGCAGACTGGGTTTTGTCTCAATGGCAGTCAAGATGTCGGTAAAGATGGGTTGAAACAGGATAAGGGTATATGCGGTCATGGCCATGGCTTTTTAAAAGATTCCTCCAGCGGTTGTATGTCAAGGAGATCAGGGGAAGGTGTACAGTGCCAGAAAAGCGCTCAACTGAGACTTCTGCAGCTGAGACGTGACGGGGCTGTCAGTGGGGATGGAGGGACGTGGGTGGAGCCGTGTGAATCGGCAGGTCCACGAGAGACCCTGGAGATGATCCTGGTGGGTTCCCTTGAATGCGTGGGTCATTTATTGGGATGTGGAAGTCTAGGAGGGACAGGTTTGGAGTTGGATCTTTTTCTTGCCACGCCAGAACTCAGCATCAGCCCGATCAATTCACCTCCTTTAGATGAACTGTGGGGCCCCTAATGTGGAAGGAGATGATATCCATAGCAGCCAAGCACACAGCCTCTAGAGTTCGATGGTGTGGGATCGAGCTCAGCAGCTTTCTAGCTGGAGGATCCTGACTGGTTGTTTGACCTCTCTGTGCCTCTGTTTCCTCGTCTGCAAGTGGAGATAAATAACCTGTTCTCCAGCGATGTTACAGAATTAGATGGACAAGTGTGTAAATACTCATTACGTGTCTCTGCTGTGACTTCCCTTGCGGCTGTGGCTGGATTCCAGGCCAGACAGCTCTCCTAAGGCAGCTCCTCCTGGGAAAGAGGTAATGAATAAACAGGGCCAAGGACATTCAGCGGATTTATTCCCCAGCCCCCACCACAATGAGGGATAATATTATTGGACTAGATCTACTCAGTAATTATGCCAGGACCTGAAACACGGACCCCCTTTCCCTCCTGCCCTTGGAGAAGTTAAAGTTCTTCCTTGACTTTGAATTTCTTCTCTCGTCTTGGAGGTCTTTTCGGCTTAGCTACCTCTTCCTCTTTCTCAGGTCTTTTCTTCTGCCCCACTGGCACCTCCACCTTGGGTACATCCTCCTGCTCTGGCAGCGACTCCCCTGGCATTTCCAGCTTGGTGTCGTTCTCCCATGCAGAGAGCTCTTCCAGCAGGGCCTCCACCTTGGACACATTCTCCAGCTGTTCAGGGAACTGCTGCCCCGGTAACTCTGGCTCTGTATAAGTGCTTCCTCCTCCTCCTCCTCCTCCTTCTTCTTCAGCTAACACTTCCTCTTCTAACATTTCATTTTGCTCAATGGACAGCAGCTATTAAAGAAAAGATGGAAAGAAGAGAGGGAGAGGAAAGAGGATAAAGAAATGAACTGAGATCACTGTGACTGTGATTGTCAAGGGTCTTCTGAAGGTACCCAGAGAGAATCAGTCTTTGGCTTGAGCATCCCATAGATACAAAAGGTCCCACCTGGCTTGGGGAGTTAAGTGTCTGGTATGCTTGTGCCTTTTGGTAAGAGGGTCTTTTGGTAAGGGGAGTCACCTTTCTCTTCACCTGAATCTGCAGGTGTTGTTGCCCAAATCCTAATTCTAGGATTGGGCAGGTGGCTCTGGCTCAGCTAATGAGGACCCCACCCAAGGCACATACTAAGATACTGAGTAGTGATGTTTTCATAGCTGGGAGGACATTGGTTTGGAGCTATGGGGTATCCTTGACTCTCTATGGGAAAGTGACTGCTTGAGAATGAAGGCAACATAGAGCAAACCAGAGATGAGCAAATTTGAGCTTCTGAATCCACCTATGTCTGATGTTCTACCAGTTGTGTTGGATAAATTCCCCTTGTTGCTTAAAGAGAGAGGAATGTCTTTGACATGCGTGGCAGAAATCCAGGTAGAACCTTTCGGAAGATGGTCTCACTGAGGCATGGTTGAGGGGAAGAGGGGATTGCGGTCCTTCCCATCGGCAGAGGGCAGAATCCCATCAAGACATCTGGTTGCCAGTTCAGGAAAGTGGACCAAGGGACCACAGCCTTAGGAGCTGGGCATTACCTTAGGACCTAGCCCATCCTGGTATTTCTAAAGCCTGCTGTTTCTACTTCCTCTTAGTAAATGCCCTAAAATAAAAGTTGCTAGTAAAGCCACACAAAATTGGAGAGCCGTCCATGTGTCCTCAATGGTGTCCAGACAGCCTGAGATTTTTGAACTCTTGACACATGTTGAGTTCCTGGCAATTCTGTGGGGGAGAGAATAAGCCAGCGTGGTGGCTCTGCCCCTCACCTCATCCTCATCTTCAATCCTGATCTTGACCTGGCTTTCCAGGAAGCCAGAAATACCCTGCAGGGTGTGCTCTCCCGTGTATGGTACAGCCTAGGGAGAACAGAGAGTGGTTAGATAGGAGCCTCATCCTGTGAATCACCCATGGAGTGCAGCAAAGATCAAACCAGGGCCGATTCCTAGCCACCTGAGTATTTGGGGCAGATTCCTTAGCCTCTCTGAGCCTCATTTCCATGACTGTAAAGTAAGAATACTAAATATTTTTCCATCATAAGGTTGCAGTGTTGTAGGTCTCAGCGTGGACTCTAAAGCCACCAACCAGGCTTTAACCCATACTGTATTACTCATCGGTGTGACTGGCTTAAGGAACCTCTCTGACTCAGTTTCCTTGTCTGTAACATGCAGATAATAGTACCTAGGTTACGGTGTTGTCAGAAAACAAACTGACATATCAAAAGTGCTTAAAACAAGGCTTGGCTTGCAGTAGTGTTGTATACTTTGCCATTATCATTATTATTATTATTATTATTATTATTATTATTATTATATAAAAACAGTTATGTGAGTACGTTTGAGATGGTATCTCTCTATGTTGCCCAGGCTGGATTCGAATACCTGGCCTTAAGCAATCCTCCTGCCTCGACTTCCTAATTAGCCCAAACCACAGGCACCCACACCACCATATCCATTTACTTTATAAAGGACCTCACACATGGTGGCTGCTCAGTCTTCGAGGTTCCCTCTCGCTTTTGGTCTCAGGAAGGTTAGGAAGCGACTTACTGCCCACTGGTTGTCTAAACTCGTTTTTTAGATAACAAGATCGGTGACACAGCCTCATTCTCCATGAGCTACCCATACACATCTGGCATCAGCACAGTGCTGTGGTCCTCCTGCTGCCCACCTCTTTGCTCACACTGTACCCCCCGCCTGTGGCTCAAAGACCCTCTTTTAATCTGATCAAACGCTTGCCATTTTGCAGAGTCTCAGGAGTGTGTGAAGACTTGGACCATATCTGCCTTTCAAAAACCCCCTCCTCCCCTCCATTTCCACTGCATTTAGAGATGAACCCATGTGCTAGGATGATTTCTCCCTCACGCTCAGTGACATCCTTCTCAGAGGCAGGGACTTAGGCTCATACTTCTTTGGTTGACACTGTCCCCCACATACCAAAGTGACCTGGAGAGTCTGCTCCGTCAACACTGGTAAGGTTGGTCAATAGCTAAATCCCAGGGTGCGAGAGGCATGATTGTCTCTATACACATTTTCTCTTTCCCCAGTCTTCCCATGGACATTGCCCCCACCTCACTCCATGTAGATGGGGGAGCTCCCTCCCTAGAGGGAACCACCGTACCCAAGACCAATCAAAATAGCCACATCCACTTGGCCACAGTGACTGGGTCAGGATTGAGTGACTGACCTAAGTTGTATGCAATTATATATAGCGGGTCTTAGCACTTCAGTGGAAGCCACTGAAAAATAATCTTTGAGCTTGAGCAAGAGAGCAGACTGGAGACTGGAGCTGAGGACGAAGCTGGTTTGGTAGGAAGCAGAGCTAGTGATCCAGAGAAACCAAGTCCCTGAGGATAATGTGGCAGCGGTTTCAGTTGTGAGTCCCAGGAGCTTCTCACCTGTTCAGCGTTGGTGGGGAAAAGCCTGAAGAAGGGGTAGCGGTCTGGATTCGTCAGCTGGATGTCATTGGCCGTGATGTCAATCTTGGCGATGATGACTGTGGAGTGGTTTTGATACTTCCTGCCCAGATCCTCCAGCAGTGGGAACAGCACCCTACACTTCTCAGACCAGGGTGCATCTGGAAGAGAACGGTCTTACTCAGGGAACTCTGAAAGCCAACGCTGTCCCATAAGCACTATCTCTCATGGCATGGCTGCTTTACAAAGATTATACTCTCTTTTATGCATATGTTAGGTTATTTTTTAACATTTTAGTCATAGTACATGATCACTATTAAATAAACTAGAAAGAAAGCTGGGTATGGTGGCACATGCCTATAATCCCAGCACTCCGGTACGCTGAGGCAGGCAAATTCCAAGTTCGGGTCCACCTAGAAAGATAAGGAGACCTTATCTTAAAAAAAAAAAAAATTTGAAAAGGCTGAGGATGTGGGTTCATAGAAAGGCCATAGGTTCAATCCTTGATGCTATCAAAGACAGCCAGAGAGAGAGAGAGAGAGAGAGAGAGAGAGAGAGCGAGCGTCCAGGGGTTTTCCAGTGGAAGTTAAGCTACTTGCCCCAGGGGTTTTCCAGTGGGATTAGGTTACTTGTCCAAGGTCATCCAATAATTAGCAGAGGAAATAGGATTTGAAGCCAGGGTGCTCTGACTTGTAACCATCATACTACAAATGTAACGTAACATAAAATAATAAAACATAATATGCCTTTCAGTCCCTTGGAGGAGAACGGGCCCATGAAGGAAGCAGGTATGCCCACAAGTACGGAGAGCACAGCTGCCCCTGGAAATTGGCCATGGTCCTTTGTGGGACCGTTCTTGGGACTTTCAGTGTGGCAGACTCCTGGCCTCCAGCAGCTTTCCAACCCAAGGAAACAACCTTGCTGGTGCTCCAAGCTTGGCCTCAGTAGCTGGACGCTACCTCTGCACAACATCTTGCCCATTTCCAATCTAAGTGCCTCTGTCACTGCCCTCCTGCCAGCAGCACCCCAGGGCTCCCGGAGTCCGGGGGGCCATTTGACAGTCCTGCTTCCAAGAAAAAGAGGTCGTTTTGCCTTTGATCAGAACAAGATGGATGTTCTCTGAACTCAGGGTGCCAGGGCCATGCAAAACGCCATGCCCAGCCCTTCATTTAAAGCCAGCAGATTGCAGTGATTCACCTGCACAGACTTCACATGTCTCCTTCTGTAGACAAGAGTCCATGTGAGGAAGATTGTAAAAGGCCTGCAGGATGCAATCAATCCAGGATGTCACAGAGCCTTCACTGAACTTTTGGCCTGGCTACTCACTGTGTGACCTGGGGTAAGGGAAAGAACCTCTCTAAGGGTGAACTGTCTGATCTGGATTGTGGGGAAGGCCGCCATCCCTTCCTCACAGGCTTATGGCTGCCACCTTCCACCACGCTCCTGCCTGGCTCACTGCCAGCACTCACTAAATAGCAGCTCTGCCTGTCAAAATAACAGACACCTGAAGCAGCCTCTGAGCCCCTTGCCCTGCTCCCACGGTGAGACAGGACACGTTTGGCTTTGGTTCTCATGGATGAACCAGAAATGGTGGGAAGGGAGGATAGCTCTGAGGGGAGCACTGGCAATAATTATAACGACAGGAATGAAAAACCGCAGTAATAGTTGTCATTTATCAAGTGTTTACACTATGCCAGACACTATCCTAAACCTTTACGTTTAGATCTCTGCCCAACAATGGGCCACTGGGGTAAGTCACACAGAAGCCAAAGCTGGGGAGTTCCGGACAGTGGTGTGAATCACACCGCCTAGGTTCAAACTCCAGTCCCAGCACTTACCAGCTGGGTGGTACTGGAGAATTTCTTCCACCTCCAAAGACTGTTTAGTCCTCTGTAAATGCAAGGTATGATACCTACTTCCAAAAAAAGTGCCTGAGGATTAAATGGGGCAAATGTACGGTGGCTCAGCCGGAGGCATCCGGTCAGTTAGCCATGCGCATTAATAATATTAATACTGCTATAAAGAGCTACAGGCCTGGGTTATGTGGAAAGCATTCCATACAGTCCAACAACAGGGAATAGAGTTGCATTGTAGCTGATAGCATCATTTTTTTTCTTCAGTTCTATGAGTTGAACCCAGGGCTTTCACACTGAGTTATCACTCTTGACCTTTTTAAATGTTTTTTATGTTGAAGCAGGCACTCAAGAAGTTGCCCAGATTGGGCTCCAACTTGCAATTGTCCTGCCTCAGCCTTCCAGAGTGATGGGATTACTGGAGTGCTAACAGCATTTTGACCCAAGCTCAGTGCATGTCTGCAGACCATCCTCGGCTTGGTGCAGTGATGGGTTTTGGAGACTGCAGTGCCCAGGAATTTAGAAATGACCTTTGAAAAGTAATGCCGGGGCCCTTGCCTCCCCCTTGCACCTATGGAACTACTTACAGAACATCACAAACACATCCCTTTCCTTGTCAAAGACGACTACGTTGAAGTTCTTCCCCACAAGCTGCTTAACTAGACCTTGGTCCCAGGAGTCTCGAATCTCTTCACTGGACTGATGTTTCTAGAAGGCAACATCAAGAGGTCTAAGAGTGTCTAGAAGGGACTCAAACCCGGGGCTCCCACCCTGATGGGAAACCATGAAAGGCTTTCTCTTGTCTTTTCATGGGGCCTTTGGGAAAGAGTTTGAGATGGATCAAGAGCTTCACAGCAGCCCTGGATTGTCCAGGGCAGGTTGGAGTCAGAGGCCTGAGGAGGAGGCAGGGCCCTGTCCTGAATTAGCCAAATTTGGATGCATGATTCTCAGGATGCTTAGAGGAGAGCAGAGCTCAGGTCTTTTGCATCTTAACTACTACAGTAAAACAAAAACAAAAACAAACAAAAACCAGGTGCCCTCAATTACTGTGAGAATCAAGACCAAAATCCTTTGCTGGAGCTAGGACACCTTTACCACACTGGTAGCTTTTGGCTTCTCCAAGTTCATCACCATTCTTTGCTTCCTGTAGCCTCGTTGGACTTCACTTGGCCCAAACACTCCTTTTCTCGCCCTAGAACATTGTCTGTGTTGCCCCCTGGAAGGCCTCCCTCACACTTCCCCTCCTTCCTTGCCCCGTTAACTGAAACTTGATCCTTCAGAATGACCTCAAGGGAAAACTTTTTGACTCTCCCGACACTGGATGCTTTTCCTTATATCACTTATAGAAATGTACCCTTTATATTTGTTTTTCTGGTTGTATCTTGACTACACTAGATGGTGGAATATCATAAAGGACTCTCTCTTTTCTCATCGAGTGTCTGCTGCTTGCACATAGTAGAACCTCAATAAATGTTTTGCAGATGAAGGAATTCAGCTCTTGCTTCTGTTAGAGGATGTGTTGAGAATCTCAGACCACACTTTTCTCTATAACCATCACCTCCTGGATATCTGTTGAATCCACACCCTTCTCTCTATTTGCTGGGTTGCCATCAGCTGGTCCAGGACCTTCATTCTCATCTGGATCACTGGAATCACCTCCCTGCTTTTCCCCCTAATCTTCTCTACTCCTTTATTTTCTACAAGCAGAGCTGTTTTCACCATGGAAACCTGCCTTCTCATTGCTGTTAGGATCCCAGAATTTTAATATGCTTATAAAGCCGTTGAGGTCTGGCCTCTGCCAAGCCTACTGACCTTTTTTCTTGTGGTGTCCACCCATACACCCACCCCAGCCTTTGGAAAGGACTAAAAGTTGCCTTCAGCGGGAGCAGAAGAGGGATGGCAAATGAAGAGGCCCCAATATATAGATTTCTCATTTCCTGGTGATAGATGAGTAGAATGAATGGGTTAGGAAGATAAATAGACTCAGAGATCAAGAAATTTATAGAATCACGCTGGGCTGTTTCTGAGTCTGGGAGGCAGTGTGGTTTGTGACTTCAGGAAGTCAGCCAACCTCATAGTGACACTCTCTTTCCCCAGTACAGGGAAGGGAAGTGGGACCTGGTAGAGGTGGCCTTTTGCCTGGGGAGCACTTCAGAGAGTAGAGCAGGTGTGCAAAATGGAGGGAGAAGAGAGTCGCCCCAGTGAGCAGCCATGCACTCCGAGCTCATGGACGGGGACACTACAGAGACTGTGAGAAGGATGAAGGACTGCAGTGATTGGTGTGCTGCAGATGGAAACCAAAAGGACGGGAAGTTTGCAATTAGGCATTCGGAGGGGCTGCCATCTCTAGGCTGTAGCCATGAGAGTGGGTGGCTGGGATGGGCTGCGGACACCAATTATTGGAGAAGAGAGCTTGGGGTCTCGGAGTTGGACAGCTCTGGAGTGAGGGCAGAGTAGGAGTGGAGGGCAAGGTGGCAATCAAAAGCTTAGATCCTCAGAGGGCCAAGAGGAGGTGGTCAGAGGACAGCAAAGTGGGGGCCAATGAGTCATCTAAAGTGTAACTGTGTGGGATCTAAAGAATCTGGAGTTGGAAGGGGAAAGGAGAAGAAACGGGTGTGGAAGTGCCGAGAAGGACACCAGCTTTCCACATGGCCTTGTGATAATGGGCATAGAGAAGTACAGCTTCCACTGAGAAAGTTGCAGGGAAAGTGGTGTCCCCAGGGAAGGGACAAGAGGTCATGGAAACACACAGGCAAGTTGACCATTTACTCCTGTCTTTCCATACAGTTTCAAGAATCCCCCCTATACCCTCAAAGGTATCCTGGATTGGAAAATAAATGATGTACCTTCCCTTCCCCAGCAGGGTAACTGAGCACACAGCAAGTGGCAAATAAACAAGTTTGTGTGGGCCAGGGATTTAGCTCAGTGATCCTGCCACCTGCCTCGCAAGAGCAAGTTCCCAAGTTCGATCCCTGGTACCAAAAAACAAAACAAAAACAGCCAGTTTGTGATGCCAAGTTACACGATTCTCTTTCTGAGGCTCTCCTCCCTTTCAATAGCAGAGACCACTGCCTAGCTCATCCCACTGAAAGATCCGTAAAGCCTTAGAGGCTGCATCCTCACTGCTGTCTGTGGTTTCATCCCCTTGTCCTCCCCAAAGCAGGCATCTACCTTGGACCAAGTACATCCTTAGGGGCTGTGAGGAGGATAAGGGCCTCCTTCTAGGAGGATGTCAGCCTTCTAGCGTGCCTGCTCTCCTTTCCAAAGTCACTTGACAAGTACAGAATTCATGATGAGACACCAGTCTCAGGATAGCTCAAAAGTGGGATGGATTCAAGATGGGGAAACAGGAAGGATTTCTTCTCACTGAGCCGTGGAGTTGACCTTTATTTTGCCTCTGAATTCAGGTGACCAAAGCCATCAAAACTCCATGAAAAATGATTTTGAAGTTCTAGAGAAAATGTTATCTGAGAACAAGCTTACCTTGGCCCTTCTGCTCAGGAAGCTGCCGCCGAAATCCTTGAGGTTTTCATAGGTTATCTCATCCGAAGGCATTTTGTACCGGGCATCAGAGCTCAAGTTTAGGATTTGAACAGATGGGACACTGAACTTTGTGACGTGGAAATACTCTAAGATGTGTCTGTTTCTGTGTTCATCCGTATCCACAAGAATGAAAAGGATCTGCCAACGCAAAGAGGACGGTCACATCTCCAGACCCTTTACCAGAGAGAAAGGGAAGCTGTATGCTAACGGAATGTGCACGGGGAGGACTGGAGCCGCTCCGAAGGGCTTAAATCAGGCTGCACCAACGTCAAGTACACAGACAGGCAGCAGCTGCCAGCCTGGCTTCAGCATCTTGTGCTGTGCACATCCTCACAACGTGGTGCAGTCAGGAAGCTCTGAGCTTTCCTCCTCATTCCGTGCCTCAGTTTCCTCATCTATGAAGTCATGACTATAATAGTACCTACCTTAGAGGGTCTAGTGAACTAACCAGCACAGTGCCTTCTTCCGTGATGGGCAGACAGAAAATGTTCAGTGCCTGCCAGTTCTTGTTCCTATGCAAAATTACTCTGTAAAGGAGACCCACGGCTTCATGCAGCTGTTCACGTGGTAAATATTCATAGAGTGGCTACGTGTGCTTGACTTTGTCTTAAGCCCCGGGGACACGATGTTGCCCAGAGTGGACAGAATCCCCGCCTTCCCGGAGCTTATACTTGGGTGGTGAAGGTGGATAACAGAACATAAATTCAGAAATAAAGGACGTAGACCACAGAAGGGGGAGCAGTGCGTATAGCACACAGTTGAGGGAAGCGGGGCTCAGTAAAGTTGGGACAGCCAGGGTGATCGGAGGGAGTGGAAGGAGATGGCGTTTTAGCTGGGAGCTGGGTGACGAACAAGTCACTTGTCCATCGAGGAATGCGGATCGAGGGAGAAGAAACTGTGAACCCAAAGACCTGGCGGCAAAACAACCAAGGCCCAGTGTCCCAGGCGAGGCCAAGAAAGGCCACAGGGCTTCCGCACCGTGAGGCAAGAAGCCGCAGGAGAGGAAGTCAGAGACTGTCAGAGGGAGGCCAAAGGTCCAGGAAGGAGCTTGGCCTTGGTTTAAATATCACAGGAGTCCAGGGAGTGACGCGGCATCATTTCTAAAGGGTCGCCTGGCGGGAGAAGAGAGGTGGGAGTGGAAGCGGGGAGAGGGAGTTTGAACAAGTGTCGCCTTCAGCTGTGGACAGACGTGGGAGCGCACGCTATTGAAGCAATATTAGCTTAGCTGTTTATCTTCAGCTCGATCAATGGCATTTGGGAAGCGCAATAGGGCATCAAGAATTTAGACCCTCAGCTAGGCATGGTGGCGCTTGCCTGTAATTACAGCACTGAGGAGGCTGAGGCAGGAGGATCGCTGTGAGTTTGAGACCAGCCTGGGCTACATAGTGAGTTCCAGGTCATTCTCAACTACATAGTGCGACCCTGTCTCAAAAAAGAAAAAGAAAAAGAAAAGAAAGAAAGAAAAGAATTTAGACCCTCAAAGTTTAAAAATAAGTGGCGGGGGCAGGGATTTAGCTCATTGGTTCTACCGCCTGCCTTGCATGTGCAAGGATCTGAGTTCAATCCCCGATACAAAAAAAAAAAAAAAAAAGCCTGGAAGAAAACATGGCTGGGTTTTAACTACAATAGCATAGGAAAAATAAAGGGGAAGCCATCAGATCACAACCAATTTAATTACATCAAAATCATAAAGTTGGAATATATTTAAAAGATGTATTTTTGTGGTTGGAGTCATCCTTCTGGAAACTAATTGGGCAGGGTGTAGTCTGAGCACTAATTTAACGTTAATTAATTAATTTAATGCCCACACTCTGGCGGTTTTATCCTGTGTTTGCTTTTTGTTTTAAAGTTTTTAAATGTTGTATTCAATCTCAGAATAATTTTTGTGAAATGGAAAAGGGGTTGCCTGTAGGATATGTCTTGTTAAAAACACAGAGAATAAGAAAATAAGTCATTCACATAGTCCAGGTGGTGGTGAGGACATGAAGTATGAGTAGAAAACCCAGAAGAAACTGACTTGTTTCTATAATGATAGAGGAGGTATCAGTGATATGAGCGTCACATGTTTGCTCATTTCTTTACATCGCATAGGCCTTTTAATTCTTTTTTTTTTTTTTCTTTTTCAGTACTGGAAATAGAACATGGGCTTCATGCTAAGTTACAGCCTTAGCCCTTATTATGTTCATGTTTTACTTTGAGGCAGGGTCTTGCTTAATGCCTAAATTCCCCAGGCTGGGCTCAAATTTACAATACTCCTGCCTCAGCCTCCTAGAGTACTGGGATTGTAGGTGTGCACCACCACACTTGGCCTCGACTTTGTAATTCTTATTACAACTCTTCGTGTCCTGCATGAAGAGATTGAGGCTCTTAAGACAATATATCTCATAGGAGGAAGAGAATACGAATCTAGGCCCATGCAGTTCCAAAGTCCAACAGCTCAGCAATGATTTTCCAGCTATGCTGTGCTGCTTTCTGCCTTCAGGCTTTTTCTATTCCTTGACGTCAGGCGGGAGCAGTCTTCCTTCCCCTTCCCCTCCAAGCCAGAAGCCTCCATACTTTAATCAGCCAGTATTAGTGGAGCCTGGCCCATCAGATAAACGCCAAACAGGGTTTAACAGGTTGGGGAGGAGGGGGAGAGGGGAGGAGGCAGAGGAGGAGGAGGACAAACTGACATAAAACTAAATGGTAAATAATGTCAATATGCAAATGAGGAAGTGGTATGCAAATACAGAGGCAACCCTTTCTTGGCTCAATTTGTAATAAGCAAGCCAGGTACATGGGTGAGGGTCTGCAGGCCGTGGATGCCCCTCCAAGAATCTCAGAGGGCAGTGGCACATTCTACAAACCTTGTTCTGAAATTCCTTGGAGGCCAACTTATATTGCCGGATTGTGGCTCTGTACGACTCAGACCTCCTGGAGGCAAACAGCAGCATGTGATTCAAGATCCTCATCTCGTAAATCAGATCCTTACTCTGAAATTACAAAGAAAACTTGTCATCCCAAGCACCGCCACCCCACTGCCCACCCTTCCCCCAGGAACATTTTGTCCATTGACCTCAGAGTTGTACTCAATCACAGAGTCTGTCAGGTGATTTCTTATGACTTCCTGGAGGTCCTGTTTGTAGGTATTGTCATTAATAAGCTCTTGGCGGTTCACAACTCTCCCCTTGAGCAAAAGAAGAAAAACATTGGAGGGCAGTTAATAAATATAAATAGCATGGTTTTCCCCTTGGATAAAAGAAAAACAACAAGGAATGGTGGCAGGTATAGCACATAATCCGGGCACTTCATGAATATGAGCAGCTGAGAAGATTGGCCTGCGGGTGGAAAGTGTGTGGTAGCGGTGAAAGCCTCCGATCCACCATGACGGGGTGCGTAACTGAGGTACAACCTCCGCTGTCGTGATCTGAAAGCCATCACACTTTTCATGCTGAGACTGAGTGGTCTCTCACACACTACTGCGAATCAATAATAAGGGCCTTGGGGACACTGAGACAAACCCGTTCCCAAGAGATTCAGACTGTTCAGGCAACTCCAATGAACTTTCTTAGCATTTCGCTGGCGTCAAAATCTCTTCCATCCAACCTTTCTCCCTCTTTTCCCCTTGCTCCCGTCCAAAGGCTCAGACCTTCAATGTGCTCTTAACTGCTCTCTGAGTTTTCTCCATCTCTTTGTTTTCCCTCTCAGGTATTTTCCCTAATAGGTATTTTTGCATATCGAATCCTGCCTGCTAACTGTTTCGCAGGAGGTTCTGGACTAAGACAGTGCCTGACATGCTTCCTGGTAGCCCACGATGGAAGTCTGTAGGGGCAGGAGAAGCAGTATCACCTCCTTTCTTTTCTGTCTTCCTTCCATCTCCACCCGTACCACCTTGATCCAAACTTGTCGTCCAGACGCCCTGCTGTGGTCTCCCACTGGCCTTCCAACTTCCCCCCTTGCTTCCCTCCAACCCATGCCCCAAAGTGTCCTCTGGCTAAAGCCTCAACTTTTTACTGGTCAGAACAGTCTAATAAAACTAACGAGAGTGCTCACATTAGTCCAGTCACTGTTCCAAGTATGTTATATGCATTAATTTCTTTAATCCTTGCAACATCCCATTGAACTGTCTACTGTTATTTTCCTGACTTTACACATGAGAAAACCGAGGCATGCAGAGAAGTGAACTGACTTGTCCAAGGTTGCTGAGCTGGTGAGAGGTGGAACCAGGTTTTTTTATTCGTTCATTTAGCAGTGCTGGATATGGAGCCTAGGGTCTCAGCTATACTCCATATGTTCTGCCACTGAGCCGCTAGTAACCCTGGAGACAAGGTCAGCCAGGGAATCTAACTGTAATGTTCCTACTCTTACCTACTAAGATATGTCACGTCATTCCAGCGCCTGCCTCACAAGTGCAAGGTCCTGCGTTCGATTCCCGGTACCAAAAACAAAACAAAACAAACAAACAAACAAACAAAAATATATCACATCTCTCTCAGATGTATCTTTCCAAATTTACTGCTTGGCTCTTGCTTTTGTGAAGGGATTTATTCTGCAGAACTTTTAACTTTCACGTGGTTCAAATATAATGGTACTTTCTTTTGTGGGTTTCTGCCTTGCTTTATGAAGGGGCTTTCCTACTCTAAGTCTAGAAGACAAATGGTCCCAGGGTAACCTGGGCAACTTAGTGACTTTGTGAGACCCTGTCTCAAAATAAAAAAATAAGAAAAGGACTGGGGAGAGAGCACAATGGTAAGACCCTGGATTCAGTCCCTAATACTGAAAGCAAAGTAATTTTTCCATGGAATCTTCCAAAAAAAAAAAGATCAGTCTGCTGCAGTTTAATTGGGTGTAAGGTGTGCTGTATGAAGACAGCTTTCCTTTTTCACACATGACTAGCTGTCTCAGCAGCAGTTGTTCAATAACACGTATTCTCCCCACTGATCCAAAGGTCCATTTTGCTCTCACACTGAGTTTCTATATGTGTCTGAGTCTATTTCTAGACTCCATACTGTCCTACCCCAAAACACAAGTTAGACTGTTTTATTTCCCAGCTCCATGACTCAGTGATTTCCATGAGCCCACAATAAAAACAGGCCTGTGGTCTTCTCTGAAAGTCAGGTGAGTCTGGGCCTCACTCCACCTGTCCCATGTATGGCCTTGGAAAAGTCACTAGTGTCTCTCAGTTGTATCTGCAAGTGACATGGCTATGGAAAAGGGTGGCTTTGTGTGGTGCAGGAACAAAGCATGATCCAGGAGCCAGACCACAGTGTCTAGAACATTTAACAGAACCTTTTTGATAACAGAATGCTCTGTACATCTGGGCTGTCCAATACAATTGCCACTAGCCCCATCTGACTACAGAGCCCTTGCAGTGTGGCTACTGTGACTGAGGGCTATGATTTAACAATTTTTAATTTACGTAGTCACAAATGACCAGTGGCCGCCATATTGGGTAGCCCAGGTCTAGACCCTGAAGATAGAGGGAAGAATGGAACTCAGTGAACGTGGGGGTGAATGGCCTTGTGGACCATGAAGGTTTACAGTCTTTAATCTAAAAGCAAAAACACATTACAGAGCTTTCCAAAAGGAGAGGTGTGATCACCAAAACCCAATTTGAATTTTGGGAAGATTGCTCCCTAGATGACCAGAGTTAGGTGGTTCATGCAATAGGTTATGGAAGATGTTGAACATTTGATTCAGCGTGGTTGCAGTAGATGTGGGGATACGTGGATAGATTCAAGGGGTATGTGTTTGGGATGTAGAATCAATCGGATTGGGGTGATGCATTGGTCCTGGGAGACAGAGAAGAACTAGTGGTAGGTTGTCACCCGTGTTTCCTGGTTTGGGGGCTTTCCTGGATTTTTTGGGTTCCCTAACTGGGAGAGGTGGTGGCACCATCCACTGAGGGAGCAATGCTGGTGGAGACTTGGTGAGGGGATTGTGGCCTTGAGTTTAGCCACGTGGGTGCACCTGGCCCTGCTGTCGAGATCTAGAGATAAGGTGCATATGGGACACGAACTATGGACAGCAACTGCTAAGAATGGAGGGGAAAGCATGAACCAGAAAAGAAAAAAAAAAAGTTCATGAGATTGAGCTGCGATGAGCTCCATTTACTGATTAAAGAAAGGAAAATCCAGGTGTGACAATACCGGTCTATAATCCTGGCACTCTGGGAGAGTGAGGTGGGAGAATCACACATTGGAGCCCAGCCGGGGCAACTCTTAGCAAGACCTTGTCTCAAAATTTAAAAAGGCTGAGGGTGTAGCTCAGTGCAAAGTTCCTGGTATAAGAAAAAAAGAGGAGTAGGAGGTGACAGTGGCAATGTCTAGAAAAGCCAGAGAGGGACCAGCAAAATGGCATTTCTCAGAGATCAACCGATGCAGTGCTGCTTAGCACAACAGTAGCTGAATCAGAGTTTCTTTGTTTTTGTTTTGTTTTTTTGTTTTGTTTTATTTTGTTTTGTGGGAGCAGGGATCGAACTCAGGTGTTTGTGCTTGCAAGGCAGGCAGAGGAACCACTGAGCTAAATCCCCGGCCCCTGAATCAGAGTTTGTGCCCCACGCTGGAACGCTCTCCACTACTCAGAACTGCAGACACACCCTCCTACCTTTTTGAATACCAGGACACTGTCGAGGATCACATGGAAACGCCCAAAGGTATTTTTTATCTCCATCACTCCAAATGTAAGCTCGGGGAAGTCTTTGATCACATTGTAGAACACTTCTGCAACTTCTTCCTCCAAATCCTGTTTGGGAAAGCACGTTTTGTAAGGCTGTGGTGGGAAACAAAAGTGTTTGGCCTGTTCGAGGGAAAGGTGGAAATGGTGGCTAATGTGTCTCCTCACTTTTCCAAGTTCTGGAGGAGTTTTCCTGGGTCGTCTAATTCCCTTCCATGGATATCCCATGCCTAGAGAGCTGCTCTGGCTATGACTAAGGCCAAATAGGCGAATCCTTAGATATCAATGGAAGGAATTTTATCTTCATCTTTTTTAGTTGTTAAAATAGAGGCCATTCTAACCCATGGAATGAGCATTTGTAACATTAATTCCTTAATTGCTTGCAGAAGAGGCCATTGATTTGCCCTCATGGGATGCCAGTTGAAGGTTTAGTATCAGATATGGCTAGAGTTGCGGCCTTCCTTCTTCAATTTCCTTTTAAAATGAAATTTAGCCAAAAGCACCCTCAAAGGAGGGGAAGGAGAAGAGGCAAGGCCAACATTTTGACTTCTGCTGTGAGAAGGAGAAAAGTCATCAATTGAAAGTAAATGAGGGCTGGGGATTTAGCTCAGAGGCACCATGCCTGCCTCAAAAGCACAAGGTCCTGAGTTTGATCCCTGGTATGGGGAGCGGGGGGAGGTAAAGTAAATGAATTAAGATGGATCAGACACTCATTTTCCAGAAGCAAAACCAATCTTCAAATGATTTATAAATATATAAAATAAAACCCTGAACAGAAAGCTCTCGAGACATTTCATAATTATATCTCAGTTATTTATGTCCATTCCCAAGCGTCTTCCCTCACTTCACCCCCGAGGAGAGTTGGCATGCTTTCACATGGGTGTGTGTTGATGAATTGTTAATGGTTTCAGTTTATATTAGGGGAGATGGGGAAGATCAGGCCAGGGAGAGAAAGAGGCTCGGGATGGAGGTCCAGGCATGTCAACGTCATAGAAAACAATGGCTCTCAGGGCGGGGGATTTAGCTCAGAGGTTCTGCCGCCTGCCTCACAAGCTCAAGGTCCTGAGTTCGATCCCTGGTATAGAAAAGAAAAAGAAAAAAAGAAAGAAAAGAATGGCTCTCAAACTAGAAAATAAAGATATCCCTTTATTCTGTGATGTTCTAAGTGGAACCCCAAAAGATGAGTTTCACTACTAAAACCAGTTAAATAAGTCTGCCACATTCTCTTCCTTCTCTCTCTTCCTATCTTTGCCTCTTTTTACCTACCATCTCTTACCACTTCAGCTCCCATTGTGTCTTCTTCTGCTTGACCCGCAGAGCTCCCCGGGAAAATCAGCCCAGTGGATAGGGAAAACTGGGTGGGGACAACACCCCTGATGGAGACTTCTGTCCTCACCTCCTCCCAGACATAGCACGCTCACTGGTTCAGTAGCCACCTCCCTCCTCTTGACCTCATACCTGGAAGAAGCCAATGATGACCAAAGGCCTGGAGTTCACAAACTCTATCACCTGCTGGCTGTTGTTGAACAAAATTGCTTTCTGGCTAATTTGTCTCCTCAACCAAACCACCAAGGCTGCAGATTCAACCACTCCTAGAGAGAGAGAGAGAGAGAGAGAGAGAGAGAGGTGTTATCCTGACCTGGAGTATGGCTTATCTTCCCCAAGCTTGTCCTGGAGTCCTACCCACTGAAAGCCAGGGTCGGTGTCTCCATTCCATTTTTCCCCACCCTCTGAGGTCTTTACATTAGCAGCAGCAGATCAATGTCCCTGGGCTCTCGCCTAGAGCCAGACACGGGCTAGATGTGTTCAGCTGACTTATGTTAAAACTTCTTGACAACCACATATGGTATTTAGTCTCACTCTCCCCTTTCACAGATCAAGAAACCTAAGTTTCCACTTTCTGACTGCCAATCACCTAGTGAATTCCAGTATCAGTCCTGGGAGGAAACAGTCCTTTCTTTTGGACCTTCCAAGGTGACAGGAAAATGGATTTATGTCCTTGAAATAGAAATGAAGGACCAGATACCTCTGCAACTGTGGAAAAATCTCATTATCCCTCTGTGAGTCCAACTCCCCAGCCAAGACTCAGCTGCCCCTTCAGGTCATACTGTCCTGGCTTCTGTCTTGGCTGTGGTATGGAAGACTCCAGAATGCACATAGGGCTATGTCCAGATGCTAGGAGCATCAGTTTCATGTGATATCAAGCAATGTAGGTTATAATTTTATATAACATCATTTTATATCAGTGTCAGCTACAGAATGGAGCATCTTAAATGAATTTATGCAATCAAGGAATATTTGTTGTGAGTGGTGTTAGAATACATCCACAGACCTTTATTCATTCACTCATGTATTCCTTCAGTTGTCGAAGACGCATTAAAGGCCTGTTACGTTAGGTAGGTACGGGTGCTGTACTTAGTCCTGGCATGTGATAGTGCACAGAAACAATCACAGAACGCTGCTTTGCAGCACTCATTCTGCCCAGGGAGACAATCGTCAAATAACTACACAAACGAGTATATAATCCCACCCAAAGCAAAGCTCTGTGAGCTTCTCACAAAGGCACCTGAGCTAGATGGTAAAGTCAAAGATGGCTTCTTTCTGGAAGAAATCATGTAGGAGCTGAAAACTGAGGGATGCACTGGGTTAACTGGGAGACGAGGAGAGAGAGAGACTTCCTGGTAGAGCCAAGAGCCTCTGCAATGGCCCTGCATCAGGGCAAATGGCTGCATGGAATTTGATGAGGGTACCTGGAGTAGCTAAATGGACTGCAAAGGACTCTACTTTCAGTCAAAGGACTCTCCTTTCAATATTGTTGCTTGCACTTCCTAAGAATATCAGGCCTTCCAAATAACTTACAATAAAATATATTTACATGAAGAAAGGTACTCAAATGATAATGTACAGTTAGATGAATTTTCACAGAATGAATACATCCACGCAACTAGCACCAGGCCCCCAGAATTCCCAGCTGTGGCTCCACCAACCCTCCCTGAGCCCACCCAGGGGTGGCTACGTCTAACAGCCTGTATCTGTCTGCCTGTACCTTAACGCCACACACAAGGAGTCGTGGTGGGCTGGGCTTTTGAGTCTGGCTTTGTTACTCTGTAAGCTGCTTCCCTATTGCCCGTGTACTCAAAGACTGAGTTCCACTGTTGTGTCGTATTCCCTCGGGTGTTTCCCAATTCATTGTCTGTTCTCTGTTGAGAGCGCTGAGTTGTTTCTAGGCTAGGGCTATTGCGAATGAATTGTCTCACTTGACTCTGGCGGCCCTCTGTGGGGTGGATGAGGCAGGAGCAGATTTCTGAGCAGAGCTTCAGTGGATACACATGTGACCATTTAAGAAGCAGTGGTGAGGAGACCTACGGAAGTTCTCGTGAGGATGACACGGTGCTTCGTGGAGGAGAAAGAGGAGAAGGAGGAGGAGGAGGAGGAGGGGGGGGGAGGAGGAGGAGGAGGAGGAGGCTTTATGTCAGCTCAGACCTTGGTACCCACCCCACTGACTTCCCCTCTCCTCTGAGAATCCAGCCCCGAAGCTAAGTCTATGTCTCCGATGTTCCTAGGTATCTTTAAGAGAAAAACAGACACACAGGGAAACAAACTGTTCCTCTTACAGCATCTGTCAACCAAAATTATGTTGTGAGTGCTGTAAAAGGAATTGGTTTAGAAGTTCTGAACATGTGAAAAAAAAAAAAAAAGGTGAACAGAAACTCCCCAAGTGAGTTTAAACTTCTGGTCGTCAGAACCATTGCTCCACTCGCTCTGCTATCCACACTGCAGCCACCTTCCAAGCACACCGAGTTTGGAACCGCTGGCCCCTCCCACTGGCCTCCCGCTCCCTTGGCTCTCCTGGGCCAGCTCCTTCTGCTTATCCAAGTCTCGAGGTGGTCTCCTCCACTCTCTCCTGACCCTGGTCTTTGTCATATGATGCATTCTATTCTCTTTATTGAGTCTCTCACGTTCCAAAATTATTGGTGTAATTTTTCAGCTTACTTGTTCAGTATGAGCCTCAGCGGCTCCTAGGATCCCTGGTACTTACTAGGTGTTCAAGAAATCACCGTGGGGTGAATGAATGGAGTGCATGAGTCATTAGGTGAGCCAGCTTCAGGGAAGCAGATCTCGGGCCATCTTTGCTGGGTGGGATGCGTGAGCTCCATGCTCTCCTCTAGGTCTCAGGGGGCGGAAGTACCGTGAACGTCACCACAGCTCTTTCCCGAGCACCTGCAGCTCTCGCAGTGCCCTTGCAGAGCACCGGGCCTCATTTGGCACTTGGCCCTGAGCCAGGGGACACAGTGACAACTGAGGTGTGAATGCTCTGTCAATGATTGACTGGGACCACACTTGGCTGCCCATTTCCAGGGACCAGCTATGACTGCTTCACTGACAAAGGCCCTGGAGGCAATCATCGAGTCCCCCTCCCTATGAGGAGGGGACAAGAGCAAGTCTTCCACAATGGGTCCTTGGAGATTAGAAGAGAATGGGGCTTTCACCCAGCAAGAATTAAGCCCCGCTTGCCACTAACAGAGGTTTTTTGTAAAAGTTGCATTGCTGTTGATGAGCACCGTACTGTCTCCTCTGTGAGCTCACAGGAGCCCTGTGAAGGAAGCAGAACTAAAACTATTCATTCTATGTAGAAAACAAGAAATTGGAAGCCCGGACCTACAAGGCTTGTTCTAATTCCTGCAGCTAGTGCTTGTCCTAAAATCCGGGTATCCTGCACCCAGCCTTGGCTCTTGGTTTGGAGTAATGTTGACAAAGAAAGGAATAAGAGAGCTCAGCAGAATATGGGCTAGCCCCTTACCCTCTCTCACCTGCAGTGAGCCCTTGCAATTCCTTCAAACTCAAAAAATTATCAGAGCCTCATTGCTCTAAGCACTGGACTAGAGTCAGGAAACTAACAGTTTGTTAATAATAAACACATCTGCCATTTATGTAGAGTACAAAGTTGTGGAGAGCAGGGCTCAACAAACTTCACCCAGTTTGATGGCGCCATGTTTGATTTTATGAATAAAGCTTTTTTGGAACACAGTTATGCTCATTCATTGATATAGGGCTGCTTATATACTGTATCAGCAGAATGTGTAGTTGTCTCACAGATTTTCTAACTTATAAGGCCTAAAATATGTGCTACCTGGTTCTTTGCAGAAAACTTTTGCTGACCCCACTGCTTACTCGCTGGTGTGCTTTGACGAAGTTATTCTCCCTTTCTGTGCCTTAATTTCTCCATCTGTAGAAGCACCTTCTACACTGGGTTATTGCAAAATAGGAGAAGGTCCTGGAACAGAGTGCATGCTACAGAGGTGTGACCAACCCGGCGTCTTGCAAGCATTGCATCATCTTCCCAGCAGCCCTAGAAGGCAGATATTTTCACCATCTTCCTTTCACAGATGAGGAAACTGTGGTGCAACAAGAGGAAGTGACTGTTCCTCGGGCAGCTGGCAAGGATATGGATTCAAAGGGGTGTGCTGCCAGCCCCTATACCCTCTTCAGGGAATGCAAGTGAGAGAGGGCCCTGCCTCAATGGTGCTTCCAACAAACAGAGAGGGACGCCCGGTGAAGTGACAGGGAACCACAGATGCGGAGGAGCACAGAACAGGCCAGGCTCTTGAGCCGGGGTGGTCAAGGGAGGTGACAGCAAAGCCTCCTGCAGAGCAAGGGGAGTCCTGGGGTCAGGTTTGGGGGTCTCAGGAGCCTCGAGGACCTTCTCCGCTACTTCACTGGCAGTGTGGAGGATGCCACCAGCCACTTTTTCCATGGAGTCAGGTCTCGCCTGCCCCTCAGGAGGAAGGACACGCCATTACTGGAGCCACCCCACAGGCAAAGACATGGACACGGCAAACGGGGCCTCTTGTTTGCTTACAACCCTCCCTTAAAGCTACACATCGCGTGGGATCTGCAGGTCCTTGCTACTGAGAATCGTTACACAGCATCCAGCAGTGAGTGAAGGGACAGAGATTTCCCACCTCTGGCCCTGCATCCCCACCCTCCACACAGGTGGATCCTGAGTGGATCCGTCTCATGTCCCTCTCACATCTATTGAGAGAACTGTATGGCATCCTGAAGGTTGGGGTGGGCTGCACGTGGTGGCCCCCCACTTAGCTTCTTGCAATAAGACTCAATCAAGCCTGTTGGAAGTTGGCTGTATGCAAGGCCTGCCTGGGAACATCCCACTAGCATATCAGGGAGGCTGCTGCTAAGCTCTTTTGCATTCACCAGTTTTGTTATCCATCCATCCATCCACCTGTCTGACCACCCATCCATTTATGCATCCCTACATTTAACTTTTTAAAAATGAAGATATGCCATGCAAACACACTGGGTTCTCCACATATCCCCAACATCAAGACAGAGCTGGACACACGGTAGGTTGGCAATAAACAGGTATCGAATATACGGAAGGAATGGTGATGTAAGTTAGTACTGGCAGACACCCTGTCCCAAATCTAGCTTTTTTTCCTCATCTCCTGGTCTCCCTTTTGACTACCTAGTGGCCTGGAGCTCCATCCGGATCCTTTAAAAGAGGAGATCAGGGATGAGGAGTGCAATTAGGAGCTCCGTCTCTGGTCTCTGGTAGTTTATAAGCCACACACCCCACCCTCCACCTTCACCTCTTGGTGTTTCTGGAGTCTATCAGCTGAGATAGCAAGCTGTGAGAGAGGCTGCCATGTGGTCACCAAAACCCATTTCCTGGAGACACAGAGCTGGACATGTTTCTCAGCTTCTGTTGCTGCTGTGAGGGGGCCAAGTGACAGAATTCTGGCCAGCGGACGGCGAATAGAAGTCAGTCTGCCGCTCCCAGGTCATGACCACCACCCTGCCGAGCTCCCGACTTCTGACTCCAAATACGGCCTAAACATAGAGGAATGAGCAGGAGGCTCCTAGGCGACCAAGGAAGATGGAGCTGGGGATGGAAACAGCCTGGGTTGGGGCTGGGGATGTAGCTCAGTGCTTCTCACAAGCGCGAGGGCCCGAGTTCAATCCCCGGTACCAAAAGAAAAAGAGAAAGAAAGAACCTGGGTCCCTGAGAGGCCAGGTCAGTGAGCGCCTCCCTCCTCCAGCCTCTGGCTGCCCAGCAGGCGTTACATAAGCATGGAAGTGATGTGCCATGGAGCACCATTACCTTCGCAGCTGATGGGTTCTGACCTGTTGCCCTCAAAAAACAGCCTCAGCTCCGGAGCCTTCTTGATGAAGAACTCCTGCTTCAGCTCTTTCTCCGTGGTGATGTCCACTTTGCCGAAGGCGATCCCGTTCTTGCCCTTGCCCATCATCCGCACAGCTTTGCCGAGCTCTTCCGCCAGGTTCTTGGACTTCTTGGAGGACGAGTTGTCTGCAAGAGCAAACGGGAGGAAAGGCTAGTCCAGGCTGCTTCCCCACCCCGGCCCCGTGCCCGGGATGATGCCTGGCTTTTCCTGTACCTGCCGCTGGGCAGTGAGTTTCAGAAACGTGACAGGTCGCGAAATAGGACACTTTGGGAGATGTGCACTGCAGCTCTTCCAGATCAGTAACAGTGGGAACAATCCAACTTCAGACCACTACATCTCCCTGGGCTTTGTTTTTCTTTCTTATAAAATGGGGACTGTCGTAATGGCTCCTTTATAGACTTGTCAGAGACAGAGGCCATTTATGTAAGAATCGACTAATAATGCTTATTGTTTCTCTTGAGTTTTGCATGTATTACATTATCTATCCTTTCCAATAACCCTATGGGGTGATTGTTATGATGACTCGCAATTTTATAGATGAGGAAACGGGCAAAGCAAAGTGATCTGCTTGTTCAAAGCCACGTGACAGCGAGAAAACCTAGATATGAACCCACTCAGGGTGGCTGCAGAGTTCTGGTTTTCTGACCTCCACCAGGCCTGTGAAACACGTAGCTTAATGCCCGGCATGCAGAGAGCACACAATGCATTATAATCACTACCGCTGTTAACTGGTGTAAGATTTCTGTGGTCAGAAATTAGGAGGCAGGAGAAGAGGACAGAGAATCAGAACGGCAGAGAGAAGGCGCTCCTGAGCAGCGCCATCTGGCGGGATGTCCTGGAACTAGCCATGTGAATGGGGTCTCTCCAGCTGACCTGCAGGTAGAGGGCCAGGTGTGGAAGGTAGGGATGGGGCATATTATGATGCTCCTCTACCTTTCTGAACCCACCCCTTTGCAGGAGGGGTCACTGAAGCAATCTGACACGCTCCATAAGGGATCTGATGCTCTGATTCCTCAGCCACTCGGACTGTTGGGCAGTGAGACAGATGTACAAGGGAACAGCCGGCAGAAACTGGCACATGGAATAAACGTTTCTGGCTTAAATGGAGGAGACTAAAAGGCTCCTCTGTTTGCTTTTCTTCCTCCCAATAAACTTGTAAGACTGCAGACCCCCTTGCTGCCCCTGTTCTTCTACAGCGCTTGGAGAAAGCACAAATCACCTCCCAAATGAGGGACCATCCACAAGTCTTTTGTGGAACACAGCCCAGAAAGCTGGGCCCACCTTGGTGCAGACAAGGAGAAGGAAGCCTCGAGGTCTTACTGCCCATAACATTAATTTGAGATTCAACTCTCAGGACACCTGACTCCTAGATTCACACTCCACCTGACCAACCGGCACCCCCCAACTGCTAGCCAGCGACCTGCGCTCGTACAGAACCCAGAACACAGAGTGAATGATTGCTTTCATTAACCTCCCAATCGATGGGCAGGAGGGGAGGCTTCCTGCCTCCTCCATAGATCAACGCCTTGGCACCGCCTGCTTTGTCACCGTCATCGCCTTTGATACCTTCTATCCATCACCACTGGCAGGTGCTGGCCTTTCACCAGCTGCCGGACTGTGATCTCTCCTGTGGCTTTCTGGGAATTTGGGCTCAAAGTTGCTGAGTGACATCATATCTAAGGGCCGGAGCTCAGAATGAGAGAACCCCGCAGAATGGCTGCCCGAAATGTGGGGCATCTGGAGACTCGGCTCCAAGTCCCACCCCACCCCCAGGGGTCTGAAATGGAGGTGAAAAAGTCCAGGACAGCGGGAATGCTTTTGCCTGAGAAGTGGAAAGATAGGACCTGACAATGATGTCGTGGGTATCTGTTCATTTCACTCATTCACTCATTCAGCAAATCTTATCATATGTCGCGTGCCAGGCACCATTCTAGGCACTGAGGCTGATACTGTGGACACCCACATAAAAATCCCTTTTGTCACTGGAAAAGGCAGAAAATAAAGAAATAAAAATACATGCTGGGTCAGGTGAGAGTTGGACATTGGGAGTGTCCAGAAAATTGTTGGGTTTAAGTAGAAAAATTGACAACGGCCTTGTGGAGAAGAGTATTTTGATAAAGATAGAAGGAGATGCAGGAGCCACCCTTGTGGGTATCTGGAAAGGGAACAGCAGAGCAAGAAGGGCAAAGGTCCTGGGGGGGGTGTAAGACCTTTGGGAGCGGTAAGTCTGCTGAGTGTGGAGCGGAGCAGGCAGACGCAGCAGGGTGGGGGTGACACAGGGTCTCGTAGGCCATTGTAGGCATTGCTCCCCTTTGTTTGGAGCAGACTAGACTCATCTCAGTGCTGTATGAAGATCAGACCTGGGGAGAAACTAGTGGCCACAGGGAAACCAATTGGACACTACTGAAATAATCCAGGGGAAAGATGGTGGTGACTCAAGCCAGGGTAGTAGCATTGCAAGGGGGTGAGAAGGGACCGAAGCCTAGAGAAAGTTTTGAAAGAGGAGTTGACTGGATTTGTTGGTAGATTGGTTGTGGACTGCAAGTGGAAGAGAAGTGTCAGGATGACCCTCAGGTTCTGACCTGAAGAACTGGAAAGGAAATGATGGTGAGGTGGTCACAGTGGTAACAATGATAACAAAAATGTTTACAGCGCTGATTGAGCTGGGCATGGTGGTGCGTGCCTAGGAGGCTGAGGCAGGGCTATCGTAAGTTTGAGCCTAACCTGGGTTACTTAGCAAGACCCTATATGAAAATTGAAGGTAAAAGAGGGCTGGGATGTAACTCAGTGCAAAGTCCATGAACTCAATCCCCAGTACTACAAAAAAAAAAGTATTTATTTTCACTTATTATATCCATCTCTCTGCTAAGTGTATCATACCATTGTTTTCTTGCTTAATCTTCAGTATAATCTATGAGTTAGCTGTTATTAAAGGCAAAAAAAAAATTACAGACAAGGAAATGGGAACCCAGCGGTCTTACTGCTAGTGAGTTGTTAGCCTGAGATTTAAGTCCAAGGCTAGCTGACTCCAATTGACCAAACTTGTTATCTAGACTGAAGATGTCCCTTTTCTTGGAGAAGTAGGTGGGATGTGCTTCCTGTCTCCCCCATTTTAGGTGGCATCCATGGGAGCAGAGAGAAACTGCACAAATAAACCCATTCTGTGATTTATGGTCCTGTGTCTGGCATCTGTCTGTTTTAAGTTTGCTAATTGGTTTTACCTCTGAAGCTCTGCAATTTTAAATTTCAAGTTCTTAAAGGGGAAAGGTACGCATATACCCTTCAGGTCCTGGTGTGTACTTCTTGCCCAGACCAATTGGAAATCCGAGTTTGATCAGGGTAAGAAGACACTTGGGCAGGGCCGGCAATTTAGCTCAGCGGTTCGGTGGCCTGCCTTGCAAGCGCAAGGACCCGAGTTCAATCCCCGGTACCCCCCCAAAAAAAGAAGACACTTGGGCAGAACAATGCCCAGTGGGCCCTGAATGGGCAGGGGTCCGTTTATTGAGATTCTCACAAGCCCAACCTTCCTCGGGGCTTGGGAACATTTATGGACGCTCTATCCACTTTAGAGTGGTCCTAAATAAAGAGAACTTTAGTGCAAACTTGGCATAGAAATGCCCAGTAAGCAGTCGCCAATACGATGATAGGGTGAGAAAGGTCGGCGCGGCAGGTGCAATGAGTGCCACTTCTGCTGCCAGACCTGGTCTCAGATCTGGGCTTTACTGCTTAGCAGTTGTGTGACTTTGGGCAAATGAACCAACCTTCTGAGTTACTTGCCTCCACGTACCATGGGCGTAATGACGCCAACTGCAATGCCTGGAGCTCAGGTGCTTGCTAAAGGACCACGACACCTCGTCACCAGTGTCGTCATTATTGTTGTCATCACCATAACCATCACCAGCTCACCCTTACCACTGTCATCGTCATCACCGTCTCCATTTCACCTCTGTCCGTATTCCATCTTCATCGCAAACTCCATCATCATTTAACGTTTTCTCAGGGCAAACTCTCGCCGCCCGTGCTTAAGAGACAACGAGTAAACGATCCGGGAGACAGCTCCTAACAAGTCTTAGCATTCCCCGGCAAGGGTGGCTTTTCTTCCTTTCTCACCTCATAGGCTCAGGAAGGATGCTGCGGGTGGAGGGCGCTGCAGGAGGACCGACCCAGGATGACTCCCGCCGGTAACCACAAATAGCTCAGGGTAAAGAGCCGAGCACTCAGGGGCAGTGAGAGCTCGATCTGGGCCCGATCAAGTAGAGAACTCGTATTTATGCTAAGAAATTTGGAATTTTAGAAAACCATCGAGGTTTTTAATCGGGGTACAATTTGCATTTTAAAGAACTGAGTGCATTGGAGGCACAGCATTAGACCCTGCTGCAGTGGTTAGGGTGGGGAATGAGGAGGGTGGAAGTGAGGCAGCAGGAGAGGGGTGGAAGAACCGGGCCGTGCGCCTGCAGGTGATGCTGATTAGATTCAAGAATAGAGGGCAATCGAGAAGAGCCGTGATATTTCTGACTTTGACGCTGGAAGGCGGGATATGAGAAGGAACAGGTGGAGGGGACCAATCCAAGGTTCTGTGGTCTGTTTTGGACACAGGAGGCATTTGAGGTGGAAAAGTTCCCAGCAGTCATTGGCTCTCGGACGCAGAGTCCTGAGAGAGGAGAGAAGTTGGGTTAAGGAGTTGAGGGCGACTGGGGAGTCCCTGGGGTCAACGTCAGCAACACCCCTCCCCTCGGGAAGAGCGCATTTTCCCTTGGAGAAAAGCTTTTACAATGCTTTCCCCCAAGTGATTAATTTCTCCAAAGGTCACTTTAGAAGGCCTGCCAGGTTTTGAGAACTCATCTTGGAATTAAATTGTGTACTGGCAGGAACCAAAGAGTCGACTTAATGAGTTTAATTGAGCGTCTCTTTTCGATAACGCAGTCACTGCTGGGGTAGAGTTGGCTGCTTTGACATACGCACTGGTGAGAAGACTTCAAATACTTTAAGGTATTCAAATTGGTTGTTATCAAGTCCGATTACAGAATGGAAAACGAGTTGGCTCTTTCTGCAGCCTTGTGTTCAGTGTCAGTCCGCAAATCACAGACCCAAAGACCCACGAATTCGCCCTTCTACCCTGATTAAAACAAGGTTGCCACTGGCAGAGCCTTGTGGCCTCGTGGGCACCGGGCAGGGTCCCCAGCTTCGACCACCTGCTGCACCATTTTTGAAAAGGTAAACATGTGCAGAGGTGCTTACTGTGTGGTATGAAGTGTGTGGCCCTGAACCCTTCCATCGGGCGTTCAGGACTCCAGCGGTTGGAACCACAGCAGAACAAGAGAAGGTGGCTTGGGTTTCTGACCTGTTTGACCATTATCTTACAGTCCCACTGCAAGAGAGTGGGGCTGCAGGGTTCTCAGCTTTTCCTGGTGGAAGGAACCACTAAGCAGTTGACCCGAGTCCTGATGTGGATGAGGGATGCGGTGGAAATGCTTAGCCTCCTGGCAGGCTGCATCTCTCCTACAAAGCTTTGCAGTGCACTTGGCAGCAGATAGATGACACTTGGGGATCAAGGTGTGTGGAGGATTGGGGCTAAGAGAGGTTCATTAGGGTTTAGAATGCTCGGCATGGGGTCTTCGAAAAATACGGATGTCAACAACCACGAATCCGGGAGACTTCCGCTGCCTCCACCGCTCTGGCTAAAGACTGCACATCCTCTGGGGAGACTGGGTTTCTCTTACTTCCAAGCAAGCTGAAAGCTCTCAGAAGCACTTGCTGTGGCCTGAGCATCCGGGGCCCAGCATGAGGAACCAGGGCCACACCAGAAAGGCTGTTCAGCCGTCCGATTTAAGATCCAGCTCTGAGAACCAACTTAAGCTGTCACTTCTCCATGTTGGGGACCTGGGTGTGGAGTTCGGACTGCGGTGGCGCAGATCGTGTTTTACAGAGCTCCTTGTGCCTGGTGACATTCCCGGCTTCAATGGTAAAGTCCTTCAAGGCAGAAACGTAGACCCCTTTTCTCTGGGGTCCTACAGAGCCTGTCACAGCCTGGCATCGTCTAGAGCTTTGTAACAGTGGGATGAATATGAACACAAGGATACTCCATAACCCCAGCACTCTGGGAGGCTGAGACAGGAGGGTCACAAGTTTGAACCAAGCCCAGGCGACACAGCAACTTAGCAAGATCCTGTCTCAAAATGAAAAATTAAAAGGGCTGGAGAAGTAGCTCAGTGTGAAGGCCCTGTGCTCAATCCTCAGTGCTACAAACAAACAAACAAACAAACAGAAACAAAGCCAACAGCCTATTAGGTGTCCCCTCAGGTCTAGCTGCTGTGTATCTGAGCCCACTACTTGGCCACCGCAGATCAGGAGGAAGGAGTTGCTGCTTCTCTAGATGAGGACACCGGTGAGGGCCATGACAAGGGCATCTGCACTGATCCGCACGGTAACGCAGCCGATGCTCAAGGCACCACACTCCCCGCCTGGCCGCCGGTAAGGGAGGTCAGAGCGTGCAAAGCCGCTTGCTAATATGCAGGCTGGTCGGTCGAAGCCAGGCGTGTGCGCCCGCGAAGCTGACCGGGTGCCTGGGAGGGGTTGTGGCCAGCAGTGACCAGCAGAGAGGAGGCTGGTCGATCCCAGCCCATCAGCCCAGCCGGAGGACAGCAGGGAAATTGGGGTGGAGGGGTGTTGGGGAGGGGACTGACACCAAGAAGGGCAAGGCGGCTGCCCTCCTCGCCTCTCTCCTCTCGAGGACTGGGCACGCAGAAGCAGGCCTCGCACCGACACAAAGCCAGGCATTTTCTAGCAGTAGCCCTGAAGGCAGTGTCCGCACCTGCTTTCTTCACCCCCCAAATCCTTGCTTACAGTGAGTGGCACGGCCTGGGGGCAACCCCGCTTGTGCTGTGTGACCCTGGGCAAATCAGTTGGCCTCTCTGAGCTTCTTTATCCACAGCTGTAAAGGAGGGAGGTGAGCAGCGCCCCCATGCTGGGCAGCAAGGACTGAGGACTGAACGTTTCCTGAGGTGCTCAGGAGGGCGCCTGGCATGTGGTGGGCTCCACAGTGTGAGCGCTGTCAGGAAAACCCTCACGTGCCGTCCCGATTCTCCATGTGGTGTCATTGCCCCCCAGATGTCTGCAGATGCAAAGAGCAAAAGTGGAAAGGCAGTCACATGATTCCCAGACAGCAAGCGTGAAGGACTAGCGCTCCCTTTAGCCCGTGAGCTTGGGCCTAACTGCCGTCCTCTAGTGCTGTCGGGGTGTGGTCCAGGAACGTCACACTCTTCCCTGAGTCTTCTCAACAATCCAGCTTGGTCATGACGGTTCATGCCCATTCCATGGAGGAGAAAACCGAGGTCCAGGACAGTAGAGATAACCTGGAGGGAAAGCTTTACCAGCTATGACCATCGTGGGAACCACATGTGACATGTGATTTAAAAAAAACAAATTTATCGGAGTAAAAGACACGTTGTCATCAGTCCACCTCACTCGGGACACACGTGGCCCACCATTCTTGTCACTCTGTGGAGCGGTGCTGGAGTCCTCTTTGGTGAGGGTCTCGGCTTGTCCCGGACCCATTCGAAATGGTTCCCTTTCGCAGTCATTTTGACTTTGGGGAAGGCTCGGGGTGCCAGACCAGTGAATAAGCTGGATGGGGACGCACTGCGGTGTTTTTACAAGCCTGCCTGTTCATCGAGTGGCACTCAGCAGCATTTTTGTGTTTTCTATCACACCCTGTAAAGACGCTTATGAAGGAGGACGCTCAGAGCTGCTTCAGAAAGTGGCAAGAACGGTAGGACGGGTGCGTTTGAAGTGAGCGGGGAATAGTTGAAGGGATTAGTGGCAATGCATCTTTTAGTGTAATAAATTTAAAAATCTGTTTTTGCTCTATTTTTTATCACCCCTTGTCCAAACCCAAGACAAAAGTGGCCCCTGGTACCTTGGATACTTGCTCACTTTCCTTGGACCTCAGTGCTCTCATCTGGAAGCCGAGAACAATGTGATATGTGTAAACTGATTAAATTGACCACGTGTCCCCGTGTGTCCAGCCACATAGGAAACTCATCCTCGGGCCTAGCGCTGCTGCTGTCGCCAGCACCCCGGAGGGACACTCACGGAAAAGCACCATGAGGAAGCGGGTCTCGTTGAGCATCTGGGCCATGCCGGCGGGCGTCAGCACCAGCAGGTTGCGCTCTTCCTCGATGTGCAAGGTCTGGGAGAGGTCGATGCTGCGGACAGTGGCATCCTGCTCCAGTGAGCTGTGGGTGGCGGGGACCCAGGAGGCCACCATCAGCAGGGCCGTCCAAAGCCACTCCATGGCTGTCCTGCAGGGGAGAGGGGCAGAGCCCTTATTAACTAACACAGATGCTGCTCACCAGGACCTGCCTCTCCCCTGGGGGACGGTGGGCTGGGCACTGCCCCCTGAAAATGCCCACAGCTTGGCAGCAGCCTGGCACAGCCGAGTCCCACTTGGAACAGCAGGACAGTCAAGCCCACTGGCTTCCCAGACACGAGGGAAACTTCATAGAGAAGTCTGGGTCTCCCCCAGCGTCCCAGGATGAGCCTCTGGACCAGCCCCCCAACACAGGCTCCCAGGATGCCCTCCGCCGACTGTGTCCCATGCCCCCATGCACCATGCTCCTACACTTGCAGCCTGAACGCCTCTGTGACGGGAAGCTCACTACCTTACATGTGCCCCATTCCGTTTTTGAAATATTTTCAAGAATAAATATTCTTTTAAAAATCATAACCACAAAATGCCCTCGTGAAAATATGTGGAGTGCAAAATAGAAATCTCTCCTTTGACGCTATTGCCAAGAAAGCTGTTAGGTTTAGAGTGAACCCTTGCAGATATTGATGATGCCTCCATAAACATCCTTGGAGTGCACGCATGTCGTATGCTGCTTGATCCTCTCTTAACCTTTGATACTCAATCTCACACCAGATCAAATTGATTCAGAGTTGCTCAGAGCTTGAAAATCAAAATATTTGAAAAGTTTACCAGGTGATTTTTGTTGTTCTGCTGCTTCTTTGCTTGGTGGTTGTTGTTGCTGTTGCTGTTGCTGCTTGTGGTCCTGGGGATCGAACCCGGGCTCTTCATATGACTTACATTCCCAAACCTTTTCAATTTCTATTTTGAAATTGGGGTCTCACTAAGTCACTATGTTGGCTGCGCTGGGCTTGAACTTTGTGATCTTCCTGACTCAGCCTCCCAGACAGCTGGGATTGCACCATCCTACCTGACTTGTTGTTATTTTGACTTTTTCCTTGAGTCACTTTGAACACAAAGATAGAATGGTACGATGAGCCCCCAAGCACCCACCCCTCAACTTCAGTTACTATGGCCAAACAATTTGTTCATATTCTCCTCCGCCCTCTGCCCTGGGTTATGTTGAAGGCAGCCTTGGGCATTCTCCATTTCACCTGTAAGTATTTCATCATAAATCTCTAAATAGCATGGGTTACTTTAAAAAAGCACACAACTACGGTACCACTGTCATAACAATGCTAGCCTCATATCAACTACCCAAGCAGTGTTCAAGTCACCCTGGTTGCTTCGGTTGCCTCATAAAATTTAAGTTTATTTTTTTAAAATCAGTATCCAAGGAAGATCCATCGATTGTCATTGATTGTCGGCTCTCTTCAACTCTGCCTGGGTAATTGTGCAGCTCGAGAGCCATGTGGCCGGTCAAAGGCAATCAACAAAGGCAAATCAAGAAAACAGTGAAAGGCAGGTGGACGCCTGGTTTTCTGGAATGTTGAGCAATAGGTATCATCCAAATCCGTGTCTCGGTCAAAGGGTTCCTGGTCCCTAAAGACCCACAGTGTCCCTCCCCACATCTACCAGGCAGCATGCCCCTCATCAGCCCTGCCTGGGTCTGCTACAGTGCCATGATGACTGCTAGACAGAACTTTTGAGCTCTAATGTTCTCATTTGCTGACTTATTCTTGGAGTCACTCCCTTGCAGTGGGGACTGTCATCTAAAAGTTCTTTGCCTACACGAAGGCATCACGGCTCTAGGGTGTTCATTTTCACTGTACAGAGAGTCACCAGTGTGACCCTTTGCTAGCTGTGCAGCAAATGCAAGGCAGTGAGGGTTTCCGGGACATTCCTGGGCCTGACACTGGCCATCCCTTCTGTGCCTCTGTGGTACCCAGCATCCTGGAGGGGGCCAGATTTGCAAAAGGTCTTCTGGGAAAAACTCTTGAAGTTAAAGGCTTTATGGCCCTCTCTACAGCACTTGCAGGAAGAAAGAGGGGCCCTGGCCTGTGACCGTGACGCGGCGACAGAGCCTACAAGGGAGGCTGCTGTCCGGCTCAGGCAGGAAGGATGACAATCAGATGCCGCTGTCTGGGACTCAGCCACTCCAGCCTTCCCTTTGGCTCATTCGTAAAATTATCTGTATACCCACCAAACATTTCTGAGGCTGGTTACATGCTACATACATCACATGCTGTCAAAAAAAGGGGCAGGGGTCTGTGCATTCTGGTCATAGGAAACACAGTCAATGAGATAAAGAGAAACAATGTCAGAAGCTGATCCACGCTGAGCGGAAAAGGAGACGAGGGGAGACTCAAGCAAGATGGAGAAGGAGGAGTGTTAACATTATTAGCAAGCTGACCTTAGAGAGCTTATTCAGAAGCTGGCCTTTGACTGGAGGAAGGAAAGAAGCGATCTCTTTGCATTTCCAAGTCCTCCGCCGCTCCTGTGGCTCTCTTGAGACTCCTCAAGCCCGGGCTCATTTTGCCTCAAACGCTGGAGCCGTCTCTGATTCGGGCTGGCACTGTGCCTTCAGCTACCACTCTGCCTACCTGTTTGTTCTCTGCTCGTGGCCCCTGGTTCTCCCCGCACCTACCTGCTCTTCTGGCCTGGCATCCCCTGCACCCGCTCCGTCCCCCTAAGGCACACTGCCCAGATCTACAAATTCCAGTTCGGAGGAGAGCGGCCACGATGGCTGCCTTGTTAATAAGAGCAGGTGACGTGGAGTGAGTGACGCGCTACCCCCAGCTGGTGAGCTCAGCGTGCACTGCGCTCTGTCGCCCAGCGCTGCCCCGCTACTTGAGGCCATCACACATGGCCCAGAGCTTGACCCTGTGGTCTCTCAGGTCCACTGAGGACTTTACTTGTTACCCCATCTGAGCTTACCTCCTCCGCTCTCCCTCCTTACTCACTCTCCTGTTCTCTCTGCCTTGGGACAGTGGCCTCTGCCTGTGACACCTCCAGCCCATCTCAAAGCTTTGTCTGGTCCTTCAGATACCAGTCAAACACCAGGGATGTCTCACCCCTCTGTGTTCAGCAACCTACAAACTCACCAGTATTGCTTCATTGTTTCATTATTATTTCTGAGTGCACTTTTCTTTTTTAATATCAATGCCACCCTTCAGAGCTGTTTTCCCTCCTCCTACAGCAATGCCTGCCTGATTTTAGAGTCCAGCACACATTTGTTCAATGAATGGATCAATGGATGGGTGAATGAGCTAATTTAATTCTCACAACAAACTCCAAGATCCCTTTCAGAGGTTCTCAACTGTGATAACCCACTGGAATCCCCTGGAGAGTCTGGCAAAAGTACGGGCACATGGGCACAAACCCACCCCGGGTAAGCCTGGGCCTCATTTTTGAAAGCCCCCTGGTTCATTCTGATGTGCGGCCATCTTCAGCGTACATTTGGCAGAGGGAAGGCTGCCTGCATGGTGCCCGTGGGTCAGAGTCACCAATTTCACGGATGCTTGTACCTGCGGGAAGTTGGGTGACTCTCAGAGCTGCTGGGCTGGCCCTGGAGGAGGGAAGTCGTGATCAAAAGTAGGCTCCTGGCCTCCCCGGTGAACAGAGCAGGACTGGTTGGCAGCTGAACGGTCCAAAGAAGTCCAGGGACAGAAAGAAAACTCCTTCCAAAGCACACTGGTACCACTGCAGCCCACAGCAGTGTACTGGGTTCTGAAGTTCTGGAATTCTGGAGGGCCAGGTGGCCCTGGAGAAGAATGGGCCATTGTTGAGTCAGAGGGACCCAGCCCCGCAGCCCCTGCAGGGGAAAAGCTGTCCCCTCCCTCAACACAGAGACTGAAGTTTAATAGAAGGCCAGAAACAGGCAGGCCTGGACTCGGGGTTTGAGGCCCTAACTCTGTCCTAAGCAGTGTGTGTTACTCACTCTTTCTGAGTGTTTCTGTCACATAAAATGGTGTCCAGTTCAGGGGTGTGGGAAGGTTAGACCCGCGCATGCCTCCCCCGCCTGCGCCTTGGTCTTCTCACTTAGTGCTGGTTTCTTTCTTTCTCTATCTTCCTTCCTTTCTTTCTTTCTTTCATTCTCTTTCTTTCTTTCGTTCTCTCTCTTCCTTCCTTCCTTCCTTCCTTCCTTCCTTCCTTCCTTCCTTCCTTCCTTCCTCCTCAGAGCTGGTGATCAAATCCAGGGCCTCACGCATGCTAAGCCAGTGCCCGCCCCCTGACATACAGTCCAGCCCTGCATGCTCTTGGTTCACTCTGCTCCAGCCACATTGGCTTCAGATATAACAATCATGCTCCTGCCCCAGGGCCTTTACACTTACAGTTTCCCCTGCCAGGAAGCTGTTCACCCAGGGAAACTCAAGCTTCTCACTTTCGGATCCTTGAAGTCTTTGCACGCATGTCCCATTCTCTTTGCAGCCTTAATTTTTCTTCATAGCATTAATCGCCGTCTAAATTACATAGCATTTCCTTTGCCTCGCAAGTAAGAGGCACCAATAAATACTTGTTGGATGAATAAATAGAAGCCCATTTGTAATTTTAGCGCCTCTGTTCTTATGGTCAGAGGTTGCAGGGGCGCCTTGCGCTGGCCTATGCTCTTGGATACTGATGCAGAGCGGGGCACTGGGCTCAGCCCCCGCCCCCCGTGGAAGGGAGAAGCAGCCCACCTGCCTGAGGGTGAAGATTGGATCGTTAGAGATGGAGATGTCACCCGGGGCCAGTAGAGAACCTGAGCCCAGCTTGGTGGAGATTAGGAAAGCTGCCTCTGTGCCAAGGGACCCCACTGGCCTGACCAGGAAATGAGTCAGTGCCACAGCACGCCCTCAGCGGCAAGGGACAAATAACCTGTGAAATGTTAGCCGCTGCTTCCTGAGCCTCCCCTAGGTGGCACACTTACCGCTCCTCCTCCACGAGGGGGCTCTGTTTCAATTCTAGGGATGAGGGAGGCGCTCTGGGGACTGAATAAACCCGCACTTCCCACTGGTGCTGGCAACTGGGAATGAATGTCACCTGGCTTGGTTTAATCCTGGGGAGAAAAAAAAAATGCACACTTTGTACACAGAGTGTCAGAAATGAACTTGTACCTGCCATACGTGCAGAGTTTCAGCACAAGGTGTGGCGGTAACGGTGCTGGATAAATATTAAGTATTTTGTATTCATTGATTCAACAAATATGTATGGAGCTCTTCTAGTACAGCAAGTACTGTTCTCACTGCTGGGCTATGAATACGGTGCAGAAGACCCAAAATCTGTGCCTTCTTGGAGCTCAGGTTCGTGTGTGTGTGTGTGTGTGTGTGTGTGTGTGTGTGTGTGTTAAAACTGGGAGCTTGACATTGTCCGCTGGTGTCCCTAGAAGCCCTGCCTGGCAAACATGATATATTGGGATATTTTTGGCTACTGTTCTCGGAGACACGGTGTCCTAGCAGCGCACTGTGAGGCAGATCCCCAGAGTATGCACAAGGGGCCGGCGTAGCTGAGCAGGATAAACAGGCTTGAAAAGAACAGAAGAGATATCAGGAAGCTTACAGGGGCCTGGAGGCTTTGTCAGGAATTTGGCTGACGTGAGAATAGGGTGCTGCAGGAGGCCTTCTACTTGGTTTTTTTTTAACAGCTTTATTTAGACAGTAGACAATTAGTAGTAGTGCTAGTAAATTTAGAGAGCTGTGGGGCCGTGACCACCATCATCATTTGAGGACGTTCCTGGCAACCTTGGCAGTCACTTCCTGTCCACATATCCCAGGCCACTGCTCATGTGCTTTCCATGACCTAGATAGAGAGTGCTGAGCAGAAGACAGACAAAGTCTCACTTGTTTATCATCACCTGTATCTTTTCTGTTTGAGCAAAATAGAGTCCTGGTTCTCTTTTCAGATTAGCTGATGACCAAATTTCTTAGGGGCTGAATCACCCAACATTTCACCCTCTGATGTCACCTGGCAGGCCCCGTGAGCCCAGAGACAGATCTGGCAAAGAGCTGCTCCTGCTGACCGCAGAGCCTGGCCAATGGAAAGCTGAAGACCTTGAATCCTTGCTGATTTGGAGCTCTGCCCTCTCTTGGCTGTGGTGGGGTCAAAGTTCCCTGTGGGAGGCTGATTCTGCAATTTGGATCCTAAAGAAAGAAATAATTACAAGCTCCTCAGGCTGCCCTTCTGGGCTGAAAGAAGCGGAACACCCTTTTCCACTTTCTGGGCTGGAGAACAAGGTAACTGGGCAAGAAGTCCTTCAGAAGCAAGTGGCAGCCTCCTGGGTGGTCTCTGTTAATAAAAGAAGGGGTATGGCATGAAACAGCCTTGGGAAACTACTGAGAGCAGAGGTGAGTGTAGGGGGTTCTAACAGATCAGCTGTTAGGAAATCCAGGAGCAGCCCTCTGGGAGGCTGAGGCAGAAGGATCACAAGTTTGAGCCCAACCTAACAACTCAGCAAGACCCTGTCTCAGAAAATAATAATAAAAAGTTCTGGGGATGTAGTTCAGTGTGAAGACCCTGGGTTCAATTCCCAGTACAAAAATGAAGGCAGGAGGAAAGGAAGGAAGGGAGGGAAGAAAGAAAGTAGGCAGGCAGTGGAGCAGAGTTTAGGGGAGACAATGCATGACCAAGGGGTCCAGGAGGAAGGAGTCTCCAAGGCCCTCAGGCCCAGGATTGGTGGCCATGCACAGGTTGGAGCCTACACTTTTCTAGGAGCTGTGACTCAGAAGTCACTCTTGCCTTCTAAGCTTCCTTTTCTTTATTTGTACAATGGAGAAAACGGCATTCACAGCACAGTGTTCGCGTGGATTTGGTGACATCAGGCTCCCAATGCACTCCGTGCGCGTGGTAGAGTAAGGCTTCTAAGAGACTCTGGTTGTGGTGGGATTTCCTTTTCCTGTGATCCTGTTATTATTGATCAGGTCGCTACTATATTCTGTCTTTGTTCTTACTGAGAGGAACTTGGCAGGGGGACCTGACTGGGATGCAGCCCCTGGCTAGGCTACTGCTTCTCCAATTTTATTTTGTGCAAGGCGGCTTTGGAGACCCTGCTAATGTGTGGATTCTAATTCCACAGAATAAAGGTTGGGAACCGAGGCTTTGTCCCAAGCTCTGGGTGCTGCCGCTGGTGCAAAGACCACACTTTGAATAGCAAGACACTACAACAGCCCTGGGCAGCACAGGGCCACCATCCACCTGTGACTCTCGAAATATAGCTGATCCAAACGGAGCAATGCTTGTGAGTATTGACCGCCACATTGGCTTTTGAGGACCTAGTGCGGAAATATATACCTCTTTTCATACTGATTGCATGTTGGAATGATAATGTTCTTCGTGTGCCTCATTTAATAAGATGCATTATTATAATTAATATTGCTCGTTTCTTTCTTTTCTTCATAAGAGTAGCCCTGGACAAGGTCTAAGGAGGTCCCCCAAAGAGGAAATGGGACCCTCAACTCAGCCCATGAAATACAGGTCCAAGGCATAAAGCAGATTTATTAGGCCAAGTTAGAAATTAAGGAAGAATAAGAAAAAAAAACTCGAGTAGCTGAAAGGGGCTCACCCTGATTCAAGGTTCAGACTGGCATAAAGGACAGTTCGGGGACAATTGTCCTTGCCCAGGAGGGGCGGCCTCGGTTCCCTCATGGGGCAATTGCTCCTGCGCAGTGGGAGGTGACCCTGTCACAGAGTGGTCTCTCTTTGAGGCTCTGCTTTGCCTGAGGCTGAGGTGCCTGTGTGCTGGGACATCAGGTGTCGCTCCTGCAGGGTCTGGACCTGGCCTCTGTGACAGCTGGCAAACCCTGAAAATTACTTTAGCTCCTCTTATCTCGGTGTCCACAGTCCAGTCCTGAAGGGGGATGAACTACACTAGGTAGATCTAACAATCCTTGTTTTGGAAACTTTTCGTAAATGATTAACACTCCTGCATGCGGAGCTGAGCAGGAATCTGACCCAGGGTTTTAAACTGAAAAGGGGGACAAAGGCAATTGACTTTCCTTGTCTTCTTCTTTCTACCTGGCTTTATTTCTTCTGTCCTACCTCAGTAGTACCAGAAAAGTGTTGCTTGCCTGTGTGGCTCACCTTCTGTTCCTCCAGGGCAGGGCTGCCTGGGAAAGTGAGCTGTGTCAGGCCAGTTCAGGACTGGCCAAGAGACATTAGAGGGCACAGCTGGTGGGAGAACTGTCCCAACACAAAGAAATGAGTGGGATGCGATGAATATGCCAGGTACCTGATCTGGTCATTACGTGTGTGCCTGTACTGAAACGGGACATTGCACCCCACAAATATGTAGTTATACGTCAAATCTTTTCAGTGTATTTTTAAAGTTTTTTTCAACGCATCAATGAAATAAATAATATTAGAGGAACTCGCTGTGAAGGACTGAAATTTGAGACGGTAATGACTTTCCACAGAGACCTCCACAGAGAGCAAGAGGTGAGAGGCGGGGGTCTCAGGTTCGGAGAAGAGCCATGGGCAGTGGCACGAGCAGAACCAGCATGAGAGGCCCCCAGTGTGCTCTCCACGGGGACATGAGCTGAAGTCACTCTTAGGACGGGCCAACTTAGGCTCCCCCCAACTCCAAAGCCCAGAACCAGGGTGGTGGCTTCCCTCCTCTCTTTGGTGACAGGCAAGATGCACAGACCACATGAGGCTGTGGCTCAGAGGACTGGGCCTCCAGGCCCTGAGGAGCTTCCGGGAGTTCTCTGGGGTGCACACGCAGCTGCCACCGCTTCCTGACCCCCAGAAGATTCTGGCCAGCTGGGAAGCCATCAGCCTAGGGAGGCAGCCGGTGCCCGAGTACTTCAACTTCGCCCATGATGTGCTGGACATGTGGACTGAGCTGGAAAAGGTGACACCCATCCTGTCCTTGTCCATCCTGGGCCCAGAGGCTGTCCTTGGCTACCCCCGTGGGATTTAAAGGGTATAAGACAGGTTGCTTTGGGCATTTTGAGCTAGAACTTGGCAATCTTAAAAATTTAAACTGTTGGTTTTTAAACCTTGGGGTGGGGTGCGGGGGGGTGACTAGGTAGTAGAAGCCATAAGCCTCCTTTCATGATTCCTGAGAGATCTCCAACCCCTGAGCCCAAAATCATACCCTGATTACCTCCCCGTTCATCTGACCAAGTGCAGGAGGAAATTCTGATTTGCTGCTATTCTGTCTTCAGTATTGCTCTTACTCTCGTTGACTTTCCTTCTGACAGAAAGCTCTGGCTGAGTTTTGCACAGATCATAGTGGCTACAGTTTAGTTAAGATAATCTCAGTTTCAGGGCTGGGGATTTAGCTCAGCGGTTCGGTGGCCTGCCTTGCAAGCGCAAGGACCCGAGTTCAATCCCCAGTACCAAAAAAAAGAAAAAGAACCTCAGTTTCTTTATGTGTCTCTCTGTGCATGCTTCCCTGTCTTTCTCCCCTTCCAGATATTACTGTCCTGTGGTTTTCTCTGTTTTAGATTCATGCTATATGATACATTTCACTGATAACAAAGGAATAAAATTTTGTATTTCTAAGAAATTTACTTATGTTGATGTTAAGATAAACTCGTTCAAAGAAAGAAATGAGGTCAGTACTATCCAGGTGGGTGGAGTAAGACTTAGAAAGGTGGTACAAGGGTGGATGAGATCTACTGGCAGGCTCTGCGGTCAGTGCACAGGGTTCAGCCACACACCTGCCCTGTGAACTGGGACAGCTGGACCTTGATTTTCTCATCCGCAAAAGGAGAGTTATTTGTACCCTGTGCTGCTTGGAGCTGTGCGAGTGCAATGAGAAGTGGACATAAGAGACAGAGACAGGGACCCGGGCGTGGTGGCGCACGCCGGTCACCCCAGCGCTCGGGAGGCTGAGGCAGGAGCATCGCTGTGAGTTTGAGGCCAGCCTGGGATACATAGTGAGCTCCAGATCAGCCTCAACTACACAGTGAGATTCTGCCTCAAAAAAACAAAAAAAAAAGAGATGGAGCCAGGATGATCCTTTCTTCAGTCTACTAAATCTCCACTCTTTTTACCATACTCAGGGGCAGCCTTAGAGGACGTTTCCTAAGGATAAAGACAAACAAGCAGGTTGAAGTCAGCCAAAGAAATGGTAGAAGGCACTTCCAATAATTCTCTCTTTCAAGAAAGTAATGATAAGCTGGGTGTGGTGGCACACGCCTGTAATCCCAACACTCAGGAGGCTGAGGCAGGGGGATCGCCGTGAGTTTGAGACCAGCCTGGGCTACATAGTGAGTTCCAGGTCAGTCTCAACTACATAGTGAGACCCTGTCTCAAAAAACCAAAAAACAAACAAACAAACAGAAAACAAAACAAAACAAAACAAAAAAGTAATGATAACAACCCCAGAAAAGTTGTGAGAATCACCTTTTCTGAATTCTGGAAATTAGCCAGAGACCACGGGAATCCAGGAGTGTTCATTAAAGGAACTGAATGAATCTCAGTAAAAAGACCAAGTCTGCAGCATTTTAAGCAGCCCTTGTTCCACCCCTCATTTTCCAGACACATGGTAGGCTTGGAAAGTAATAGTCTTCATTTTCAGGGTGGCTTGGGAGTATAGAAGGAGCAGAAAGGAGTCAGATCCTTTTCAAAGCTTTATTTCCCAAAGAATTGTCATTGGTTGGTCTGTCTGCTGGTCCTTTGTAAGACTCTGTGTTCAGTCCTTTCTATATGTGACCTGACTTAGAACTGATTTGGTGAGAAAACTCTTTTCCTTAGCAGCCATTTGCCCTCCCGCAAAAAATTATAGGCAAGTGTTTTCACTTTGTGGTTGAGTAAAGTGGGCAAAAGTTGGAGGAAACAACAGACTAGCCAAAGAGCTACGAGACAAAAAATAAAGCTAGGGAGCGAGATGACCAAAAGAACTTTGAAAATTCTCCCAACATCTTGCTGGAAATTTCAAAAGCAAACCACACCCATTGGACTTGGTGCATTCACAACCAAGAAAACGCAAAGCTCTCTCTTCTGGCTGAACTGGAGGTTTTGATCAAGCAAGAAGTTAAGGCCAAAGGAGAACTGCTACTTTGTACAGTCTTCCTTTGTAGGGTAATGAAAGTGTTTTGAGTTAGGTAGTGGTCACTACCTGCTGGCACATGTCTGTAGTTCCAGCATTTTGGGAGACTGAGGCAGGTGAATCACAAGTTCAAGCCCAGCCTGGATAACTTAGAGGGAAAGAGGGGATGTAGTTCATTACAAAGGCCCTGGGTTCAATCCAGAACCACACACACACACACATACACGACACTGAAAATCATATGCTAAATTTTGCATTTAAAAACTGTTATGGAGGGCCAGGGATTTAGCTCAGTGGCACAACACCTGCCTTGTAAGCGCAAGGTCCTGAGTTTGATCCCCAGTACTGCAAAAATAAACAAATAAATACAAGCTGTTATGGAAAAAACACCCTTACGTTTGCCTAAACACTAGAAAGATTTGTAAGAAACTAATATAGCAGGTCCCTGCTGAGGCAGGTGAAGGTGGGAACATAGTGGACGGAGACAATCAGTGCAGCGTGCCTCCTCAGGAATGCCTCTCTGCACCATCTTAACTTTTAAACCCTGCATATAGACTGAACATATTAACTACTGGAGAAGACAAAATTGAAAAACAAAAAAAAGCAAACAAAACCCCTCACTCCGCGGCCTCTATTTCTCTTCTGCCTGTACCACTGTCCAGGCTGGGCAGTGGCCCTCGTGCCCCGCATTCTGGTGGGTGGACGGCCGGGGAGCAGAGATCAAGTGGAGCTTTGCAGAGCTGGGGACGCAGTCCAGGAAGGCAGCCAACGTACTGGAGGACGCGTGCGGCCTGCAGCCTGGGGACAGGATGATGCTGGTGCTCCCACGACTCCCAGAGTGGTGGCTCGTCGGTGTGGCCTGCATGCGGACAGGTCAGCGGCAGGGCTGGGGCCCACACGGTGGCTGTTTCCACAGTGTCCACGGGGGTGGGGAGATGGAGCAGGATGAGTCCTGTGTGGTTTGGTTTTGCCTCCCCTTTGCCTAACAGTCCCCAACTTGGTTTCATGGTGGAGCCAGGCAGCAGTGGAGTAGACAGCGAGGAGGCCCCCTTGATGAGACCCAGAGGGCAAGGGGCTCCTGCAGTTTTCTTGAGCAGCTGCTGTGTGTTGGGCACCATGTTAAATGATGTGCATTACTATTTTCATGTTGTGTAAATTTCCCCAGTTCTTCCATCTGTACAGCTTCATCCGTTTCTTGCCTGTGCAGACAAAACAACGCAAAACCATAACCCATGAGATTTTGTCAAGTCTGGCACTCCCTCCATGTCAGAAGACAACCGCACTGATGTCCTTTAAGTCTCATCTCCCCTACCTGTCACCTCTCTTCCAGACCACAGCGTCTGACTTATGCTCCTGCTGACAGCTCCAGCTGTCCTCTGTCTGCCTAGGCCCCTAACTAGAACACAGTTCCCAAAGCACCGCGAACAAAAGTGCCAGTGAACCAGGCTTCCAGCAGAAATAGCTAAAATAGAGCGCAGCTAAAACCCAAAGTCTTCCTAATGGGGTTTAAATTCTGCAAGGGTTTGGGAGATAAAGCAAGGGGCAGCAGGACTTTCGTGTGGCTCTGATGTTTTTGGAGATTGTCCCTTCCTCTGTCTCCCGTCCTCACTTAGTGGATTTGGAGAGGGACTCATTCTTTCAGGACTTGTTTCTTCTCACCTGGGAAATGAGAAGGCTGGATGCAGTGGCGTGTTTACAACACACATTCTGAGATACTCAAGGTTTTTCAAGTGTATGATTAAAATGTGCCCCTGATTTATCAGGGGTGGTCATGATTCCAGGTGTCTCGCAGCTGACGGAGAAGGACCTCAAGTACCGGCTTCAGGTGTCCAGGGCCAAGTCCCTTATCACCAGTGACGCTCTAGCTGCGCAGGTGGACGCCATCAGTGCCGAGTGCCCCTCCCTGCAGACCAAGCTGTTGGTGTCAGACAGCAGTCGCCCAGGCTGGATGAACTTCAGGGAGCTACTGCAGTGAGTTGAGATCTCTGCAGGAGAATAACAAGAAAACAAAGCCAGGCATTTCCCCTCAGAAGAACAAAACAGGAAATGAACTGCTGACTACCCTTGAAGACAGCGAATCAGGGAGGACCGCTCATTTGGGAAGCCAGGCTGACCTGAGTCGTAGTCCTTGTGATCACTCTAGGGTCCAAAGTCACTCATTCAGGCAGCACTGGGTGTCTCACTAGCTTTTCTGTGCCCCGCTTGCTTCTGTGGTGGTGGCATCAGTTATGACAGTCAGACTACGTGAGATAACTCATGTGAGGCGTTTAGTACCTAGCAAGTGGTCAGTAATAAAATAGCTGCCATGTCCTCAGAGCTTAATACGTACTACACACTATGCTAGGTAAACATTCACTACATTCTGTGCAAGAGAGATTTAGTAAATGACAAGTGTTGTGTGCGAGACGTTCCCAGCCATAATGAATAAGACATCATCTAATTTAATCCTGGAAAAGAGCTACATGAAGTGCAATCTAACCCCATCTTATGGATGAGGAGCCAAGATTGGAACAAGAGAAATGACTTGCCCAGGATACTAAAAAAGAGTTAAGTCAGGGCTGGGAGGGAGCCAAAGCCACATTTTCCTTGAAGCAAGGACCTGGAAATTGAGACTTTCTCCCAATCAAAGGCCAGAATCCAAAAGATACCTCTCAGAGTCCTAAACTATTGAGATATCAGTATGCACCCTACAGACCAGAGTCCCCTGGGCACTTTAGAAATACATATTCCCAGTGTCCGCCTCTGACCTATGTAGTCAGATATATCTGATTACATAGAACCCCAGGAATCTGTATTGTAAAAATCAGCCCATGGGATTTAGATGAGCTACATGATCGGCCTAGATCAGCTGCCCTCAATTTTAGTCATCATTACAAGAAACTGGGGAGCTTTAAAATAATATCAGGAATCCAACCTCACTTTGTCCAAGATGAGGCCCCAGTAATGATGATATTCCTTTTACAAACTTACCCGGATTTTACAGGCAGGGTTGAGAACCATGGTTTAGCTGATTCCCCGAGACTCAAAACTTTGGGAATTACCCGAATCTCAACATAGCAATTTGGGGGAAATCTTTAGAAAATAGCTTGGAAGGAAATGAGGTGACAGCTGAACGTGCCGGCTTACGTGTCTGGGCATGTGTGTGTTCCACTAGAAGGTCCTCAGGCCGTGGTGGAAGAACATGGGGCTCTTGTAAGTCATTTAACCTCGTCTGCAAAAGGGTCGAAATGACATAACTCTCATAAGGTGGGTGTACCTATGTGAATGGAGACCAGCACAGCACCGCACACGTGGCGTTTGTTGCGATGGTGGCCATACTATTACTCTGATACTGTTGGTGCCACTTGCTAGCTTTGCTACTAGGAGGGCCATTGGTATCTTTCCCTCTTCCAGAGAGGCGTCCACAGAGCACAGCTGTGTGAAGACCAGGAGTCGGGATGCCCTGGCCATCTACTTCACCAGTGGCACGACTGGAGCCCCCAAGATGGTGGGGCACTCCCATTGCAGCTACGGACTGGGTTTTGTGGCCAGTGGAAGGTACTGGGGATGGCTTGCCGAGGGGGTCCAAGAACAGAGAGTGGGTGAGGGAGTGGGAGGGAGTAAGCGAGGGGTAAATGGCAGGAAGTGAACTGGGGACAATAGGAGAGCAAGTGAGGCTTTGGGCTTCCTTCTGAGTAAGACAAAAAGCCCCTGGAAGTTTTTGGGTAGCGCAATACGTAATAAAAATGAGCTATTTTAGAAACATTTGTTTTTACCCAGTTGGTAAAAATTGTTGCTACTCATAGACTACCCTGTGATGTTTCAGCACACATATGCATTGTGTGATGTTCAGATCAGGGTAAACCCCCCTCCAGCCTCAAGCACTGATCATTTATTTTTGGTGGCAACATTCGAAATCTTCTCCTCCAGCAAAATCCTCACCGTGATCACCATTTAAACATATCGTCCGATCTCATACATCCTCTCGCACTGCTGTGCAACCACCACCACCATCCCTCTCTTTTTCCTCCTCGGAAATTTGGCTTCTTTCTCTTAGCCTAGTGCGTGTGGGATTCTTCAGTTGTGGAGCACTTGTCAAAATTTCCTGGCTCTCCAGGCTAAAAATAGCTCGCGTTTCGTGTACGTATCACATTTTGAAATCCATTCCTGTGCTGCTCGACCCTCGGGTACTGCCTCGTCTCTTCTCTGCCTCCCCACTTCGATTCGGTGCATCACTAAGTGTAACTAGAATGCCATCTCCTCTCCAGAAGCGTTTGCCAGCCTCATCTCCACCCTGGCTCTGACTCCGGTTGCTAGTCACTGCTGTTGTATAAGGCTTTGAGTCTCTCTTTTAAAACATGCTCTCCAGGGGCTCCCTGGATGTGTATTGCAACTAAACTGTAAGCCACTCAGAGGAAAGCTAATCATTTCTGTATCTCTGATGCTAAGAGTAGACTAGGTGCTAAACAAATGTTCCTTGAAAAAAAGGTGCCCTTATCCCAATGAATTGGGATCTTTTGTTCCCTGATATATTGCTCTCACTAGACTGGGAACTCCTCAAAAACGTGGGATCGATCGTGTTAACCTTGTATCCTTAGCTTGAGTTACAAATACCCAAAAGATGCCCCAGAAATGTTTGTTGAGATAATAGTTGACTTGGTGATTTTTATACAGACTTGATGAGCGAGTATGTACCCATAGTGACCAATGCTCCAGATAAGATGATATGGATAACATAATCCTTTTATATATATATCATTCTACTTCTGAGCCATATTCATTTTTCATGTTGGGACAGGGTCCCACTAAGGCTGAGATCTAACTTGCGATCCTCCTGCCTCAGCCTGCCAAGTAGCTGGGATTCCAGTTGAAGGCATTGCTGAGAACGCTGACTCTCTCTACATTTTTGCAGCCGGTGGATGGGCCTGACTGGATCAGATATCTTCTGGAACACAAGTGACACTGGCTGGGTGAAGGCAGCTTGGAGTCTGTTCCCCACCTGGGCCATTGGATCTTGTGTCTTTGTACATGAGATGCCCCGAGTTGATACCAAAGTTATCCTGAACGTAAGAGACTAAAACATCACTTAAGTGTTGGGTGTAAATGAGATGTGTGGGGTGTGTGGGAAAGAAAGCGTGAACCAATGACCACAAAGATTCTTCATACTGATATCTCCCAGGACCTAATGTAGGTCCTGCACATCTGGCTGTCTCCAATCATTTTCTATCCCCAAGCTAGCTGCTTAGATAAGGAGCATTTTCTCTCTCTGAACCTTTGTACAGCCTTCTTTTCCCTGCCTGAGGTGCCTCTCTCTCCACCACCTTCTTCCCCACGAACCTGTCAAAAGCCTAGTTACTTGTCAAATCCTTGGGTCAAATCAGTCAGCTCAAGGACATGTGTTGCTGTCCGTGGTGCTTATCCGGAGTCTGTCACCCAACTGCCATCCTTTTGACCCTTGTCCAGCCTCCCAAGGGGCTTCTCACGGGAAGGGAGAATTGATAGCCCCAGCAAAGACATAGGGTTCCTTTCTTCTGTCCTCTGCATCCCAACTGACGGTCCCTAAAACATCCCAGAGCCAGTCTTCCTGTAATCTTTGGTTTAGGTAAACTATATCATATGGTGGCCAACAGCACAGGCTGTATCATCTATCAGGCCTGGCTCTTAGCCTACATCTTCCCTAATAGTGTGGCCTTGGAAGAGTCACCTAGACCCCCTGAGACTCATCCCCATCTACGGAGGAAAAAAAAAGAAAAATATAACATAGTTCTATAGAGTCGTCATGAGAACAGAACAAGCATCCGTATAGGTCTTGATCAGCCAATGTGTGTGCATGTTCTCCCTCGACTGCCCTGCCCTGACATAACATAGTCTTTATCTGCTGCTCTGGTAAATTACCCTGAAATGTAGCAGCTTAAAACACACACCTCACAGTTTACTGAGTGGGAATCTGGAAGCAGTTCGGATTGGTGATTCTAAAGCAGAATCTCTCACAAGGTTGTAGTCAAGAGCTCAGCAGGTACACCATGCCCATGACATCATGATTAGCAATAGCTAAAGGGTAGAAGCACCCTGCATACCCAACCACAGGGGAAGGAATACGTGGTCTACGCATGCAATGGAGCATTACTCAGCCTTTCTGAGGAAAGAAATTCTGCTACTACATTGATGAAACTTGAGGATATTTTGCTAAATGGAAGAAGCCAGGCATCTAAAGATAAATGTTACATGATTTACATGTCACCTGGAGCAACCAGACCAATAGAGACAGAAAGTAGATTGGTGATTATCGGGAGTGAGGGAAGAGGGTAATAGTGAGTGACCATGTACTGGGTTGAGAGTTTGTTTGGACAGATAATGAGTTCTAGAGATGGATGGTGGTCATGGTTTCATAACAACATGAAAATAATGCCCACTTCAAAATGGGTAAAGTAGGTAAATTTTCTGTTGTGAGTATTTTACTACAATAACAATTTTGAGAAACGTGTCATCCAGGACCATAGGCTTGGTTGGGGTTGGAGAATTTGCTTATAAACAGACCCATGTTTTTTAGCAGACCCCCATTGCTCACTGGCTACTGGTGGTGGGCTTCCTCACTCTGTGTGCTCACAGGGCCAAGTGTACTCACAACATGATGCTTTGCTTCCTGACAGTGAGTAGTCCAAGAGAGCAGGGGAGAGCAAAAGTCTCCAAGCCAGACACCATCATGTTTGGACCTAATCTCAAAGGTGATGATACCCATCATCTTGACTCTGCGCTATTGGTCACATAGGCACATCTTGGTGTATCCCAAAAACAGGGGTCCCAAAAGCTGCACATACAGGAGGTGGAGGTCACTGACAGCTATCTTGGAGACTGTATTCCATACGTAGTTGATAATGAGACTACAAAGACCCAATTCACCTGCTTCATCTCCATGCAGGACTACAATGGTGACTCTAAAACCTGTTGTTGTTTTTGTTTTTGTTGCTGTTGTTGTTGCTTTGAAATAAGGTCTCTGTGTATCCCAGGCTGGCCTTGGGCTCATGACCCCCTTGCCTTAGCCTCCCAAGGGCTGGAACTAGAGGTATCTGCCAACCACACCTGGGTTGTCTCTGGTTTTTGTTTAGACCCTCTCCAGGTTCCCAATAACCAACTTCTGCTGTGTCCCAACCATCTTCCGGCTGCTTGTTCAGGAGGATCTGACCAGGTACAGTGCTTGGAGGGCTTGGCCATGTGAGTATACAGCAGAGGAAGCCACATACACACCGTCCTCTTATCCCAACTGTCTTTCTCTCCATCTCTCTGTGCCCCTGTTTCTGTCTGTATCTCTGTATCTGCAGCTATTTGTCCGCTGTCTTTTTCACACACATACCTCACCACAAGCATACACACCCACATCCCTCAAAATGCCCCCCAAAGACCATTTGTTGACCCCTAGGACCCCACATCCAGATGGACCTGAGTAGATTTAAAGTAGTGTGAACTTCAGCCCTCTCCTTCAGCCTGTCTCCCACCACACACCCACAGGGGATTCCCTCAGCAGCATGTGCAGTACTTGTACGAGATTAGAGCCATTGCTGGATTACTATCCAGTGCCTGTGGAATGAGCCTTCTGGCTAGGGCCCTTAGGTCTGGCAGGACCAATAAACTCACCGCTAGAGATGCCCTGTCTCCTAGCCCCCAATGAACTCAGGCCAACCATTCTGTGGTTGTGACAAGAGGAAGTGACAAACATTGTAGGTGTCTCTCATCCTGGGAGAATCTACAGCAGTGTGTGCTGGCTGCAGGTGTTGGAAAGAACTTTGTCACCTCTCAGTAACCCACTGACCCCAGTATATGTCCCGCTTCCGTCTTCTTCCAAGGCATGGAGATTTGTCCTTAACCTCTCCTCATCTCTCCTGAGCACACCCTGGCCATGAAGTACCTAAAAGGATAAACTGCTTCTGTTGGGATAAGGTCTATCATGTAAGGACCATTTCCTGTCTGCTGTGCCCATCTCCAACATTATGATCTGGGCTCTAGCAATTTGTTTAAAAAATTAATTGAATGATACTTGGTAGTACCAAATATCTCAGTCCAAACAGTTTGATCCAAAGGGAGAAAAGGATTAAAAATGTGTTTACGGTCACGGGTATGTTTTTTTTTTTTTAACCCTTTGAACAATTCATTGAACTGAGAGGTAGTTTTGCAATTTATTTAACTATATTTAGGAATATGGGGATCATTCATTGGAATCCTGGGATTCTTAGAAGACTGCTTGTTATCTTTCAAATTTTTGATCAACTTATCCTTCTCAATCAGATCTTTGGTCAGTTCTCTTGGAACGCACCATGTTAGGCTGAAAGCTACCATATGAGGTTGTGATTTTATTGTAAGTTCCGATAGGATTTTTTTCTTTTTTTCAAAATTGCCTGTCCCTGAGGAACATGCCTGCAAAGCCAGTGGATTGGGGCCACATGGGCAGTTTATGAAGCAAGGAAGTTTGCCGGGCCTTTGGGCATCCAACCCAGCCAGAGGGTGCTGCAGGGTAGGAGCAGATGGGTCTTAACTAAGTGGCTTTCCCTTCTCGCCTGAAAAAGGTACCAGTTCCAGAGGCTGCGGCACTGTCTGACCGGAGGAGAGGCCCTCAACCCTGATGTGAGAGAGAAGTGGAGGTGTCAGACGGGCCTGGAGCTCCATGAAGGCTACGGGCAGTCAGAGACGGTGCGTGTGAGGGCCGGGCCCCGCCTCCTCCTCCCCTCATGACTGTCCTCCCCCAGACATCTGTCTCCAGGACAGTGAAACTCTAGTAACAAAGCTCTATCAGCTTTTCTTCCTTTTGGTTTAAAAATAATTTCCCATTTGTCCCAGCAAACAGCTTCCTGGCCAAGGGTATTGTCTGTCTTCCCCAGAACACTACACACCTGTTTGTGATGAAGCCCCAAATCCTAAGCAGTGTCCCCTACAGGCATTGGGTAGAGATGGGTATGTCAGTTGTGCCTTCTGGTTTAGTGATGATGTATTCGGTTCTCCGTGTGAGCGCCCATTAGCACGCTCTGTAAGTATTTGCTTACTGTGGCAAGGAGAGGAGAGAAAGAAGGACGGAAATAAAGGAAGAAGGATAGGATGGGTGGATGGGTGGATGGGTGGATGGATGGATGGATGGATGGATAGATGGATGGATGGATGGATGGGTGGATGGGTGGGTGGATGGGTGGATGGTTGGGTGGGTGGATGGATGGATGGGTA